ATTTTCTGAGATTGTGGATTTGGGGTTTTCATGAGCTGTAAGCCATAATCATCACAGTTATGACACATCACGGCTTGAACTATCTTGCTTTGCATGTAATGAGTCTATCTCATATATTAGGTTCACCTTTTAAGTTGCATTACTGAAATAAATGAACTTTTGCACGATATTCTAATTTTTCGAGTTTCACCTGTAGATAGGCATTACAGCTCTACTTAGGTTAAATTCTTAAGTTCAATTTCTAAGAATTTCACAGGGAAGTCCTGTAACGTTAGTGATTCAATTCACATATTGTATTAATCATGCATGTTCAACTGAGGTTTGTTCAGTGAAGGAGAACAATGGTTCTAACCTTTTTTTCCTCCTTTTTTTCTTGACAATAGCATTGGAACATGAATCTTTTTTGCTGTTCTCTTCACACATCACCATTTCCTGGTCAGTGGCATCCAGTATACTTTCCTCCATTTCCAATCCACCTGGAAAGAAGTCAAGCTCAGACACATCCTTCTCACCCAACTCTTCAAACTCTTGTCTCTCTTTGTGAAATACATATTTTTGTGTCTCATCAGCTATCCTCATTCTGTCAGAAAAAGAAAGCAAATTTCATCTATTGTTTGTGTATGTTAATATACATCAATTTGTGAATCTGAGCATTTATTTACTAAATAACTTACAAAAGGAAATAACCTGCATTCCCTCCTTGCTACAGTTATTAATTGGATCAATTTCTCCAAGTATACTTTTGTTAGAAGGGCTGCCACCTCTGCTAAAGGAAAAACACATTTTGATTTTTGATCTCTTTATTAACCTGTTTATTATGAATTTAATCCATCGTATTCACCCAAGCTTTAAGTATCTATTTCAATACAGCTTCTTTTGCAGCTTATCCCTCCTTAAATTTATACAATGCTATACAATGGAATACAATGCTACACCCAAAAAGAACATCTACTGTATTGAATACCATCTCACTAGTGATACCCAATAAACAGAATAAGAGAACCTTACTTGAAACTAGAATGTATATCTTATTGTATACAGGGAGTATATTGTTAAAGAATAACTGAAGTGGGACACTAATTTGGATTTCCAAAACCTTAAAATCCAAAATTTTTAAAAAGATAAAAATACTTTGTATTTAGTTCAGGGGCCTTCTCTTATATATATATTTGTTATATTTATTAAAACTAACCTGATTCTCTGGTTCCAATCCTTAGAATGATTTTTAGACTCTTCCCAGATCTGTTCATAATGGAAGGAGTATGTTGCAGTTGTCATCTTGATACCTCTAAGCAGAATAAAAATCAAACACAGTGCAGTGCAGTAAAATCTGATAAGATGGCAAACTATACTTTAAATACTTGATGTGTTTAACCATAGATTATAATCACAGCAGTCTTGAATAAATCAGAGGTTGCTTTGGAGTAATCATGAGTATGGTCTGTTATGGCAATGAATCAGTTCTTCCGTCACTAGGGAATGGTTTGTTTGTTTCATTCACAGTTGTCTGAGCATGTCTTTCTATGTATATGTACACAATTACAAATGATAAGTGTGGAGAGTTTTTTTTAAACCCTGACTACCAAAGTATATTATATTTTAGTGGAGATATGTTTTTAAATTAAAAATTAGGTGTATTCAACATTTTTTGTAGTAGGGTTTCCACAAATGCTGCTATATTATAAAAATAAATGCATAAAACAGTTAAAATAACAATGAAAAAATTATACACATTTCACATTCATTAATTCTGCTCTACAGTATAACTCTCTCAAAACATGGCATGCAACAAATTTTCTTTTTAGCAAGAATGATTTTGTTTCCTGTTTTCATATCATATATATGGCAATAGCAATTTACAAAAAAAAACCATAATAGGATTTTGGATTATTTAACTGTTCAATTTTTTTCTCATTTATTGTGCCATTTCCCAGTAATTTCCATTAAGCTGATTACACATTGTGAAATGAAAATGATATTCAATAATGGCTGTAACCAAATTTACATTGACAAATTAAAAGCTTAACACGGCACATTGAAAGTCTCACTAGCAGAGTTCAGGTAGGTGGGGTGCATATAAAATCTCATCTACAAGACAAATTTTGGTTTTTGAGAAGGCTGTGGGATTGCAGTTAGAGAACCCTAAAATAGATGGACTACCTGGTTTAATGCCAGTTAAGTTTTACTTATGGATGATTTCTGACAAGATCAGGATAGAGGAAATGTGACTTTCCTCATATTGCTTGCCCTCTTTGCAACCGTTGATAACATTAGATCTGGTAGTGTAGATTTTTTTGGTATCTCTTTTCTCAGAATGTGTGATTGAATGTGCTCCTGCATCAAGAGAGGGGGAGAATTTGTTCCCTTCAGAGCTTTCCCAGAAAGAGACCAGTGTCCTAAGCTGGATGGGGGAAGAGGGAAATGGTTTAGTGCAGGGGTAGGCAACCTTGGCTCTTTTATGACTCGTGGACTTCAACTCCCAGAATTTCTGAGCCAGCATGGCTCAATTTGGAACCTCTCCCTTTCCTCTCAGTATGGCTGGCTCAGGAATTCTGGGAGTTGAAGTCCACAAGTCATAAAAGAACCAAGGTTGCTTACTCCTGGTTTAGTATAACCACACCCTTGAATCTCTCAGGAAATATCTAATAGCTTACAAAGTTGTTGCTTCAGTGGAGCAAGATTCTACTAGGTGTAAGCAAATAAAGAATTGGTCTCAATTAGATAACTCTGTCTAGTCTCTGGGCTTGGGCCTTACACCAGTCTTCCCCCTCTGCAGCTGCAGGTGCATGTTCCATAATAGAATGTCATCAACACTTTCCTGCCCTCTTCTGTATAACAATATTCTCTCAGAAATTTGAATGGTTTCTCCCTATTTTTTTTAGGTATTCCAAACGTCATTGATTGTTGAAGTTTTAAAATTGTTTCCTTGAACTTTTGAATATTTGTACAATGTAACTGATGCTCTGTATATGTATGTATGTATGTATGTATGCATGTACGGGTATGTATGTGTGCAATATATGTCTCTCTCCTTCTGTATTTGTGTTTGTGTGTACATTAATTTTTGTGTAATATTTTAAAATATAATTACACCAGAAAGGCATGCAGCTGGACAAATAGTATATAAACCTAGTAAATACATAAACAAACACTTTCTATTCCTTTAGCAGAATAAGCCAAAGTTGTACATGCACAAGTTTTAAAGTGAAGCATGCCTATTGTACAAAACCTGGTATTTAATCTTACTAATTTCATAGGAAAAAAAGAAACCTGCCACATTGATTTGGGGAATAATAAAAGGATTTAATATTTTCCATAAGGTATCATCCATGCACAATTGCCAAAAAACCCAAAACAACCTAGAATGGTTTCCCCAGCTACTTTATATTTATAGACTTCCCCACTCATTACCAGAACTTAAAGTAATTATTTAAAATATAGTTAACTAGAGTTACCCATACAATTAAATGATTTCATGACAGCAACAACCATAATAATGTTCCTTCTGGATAAAGCAGTAATCATATCAGCCACCTCTTTTTTTTCTGTTACTGTGTCTAATGAGTTTTTCTTATATCCTGCTTTTCCAGAATTAACTGTGTTCAAGAAAATTGATGCTGAATGTGAATAGATTAGCAAATTAAAAAGAATACTGTAAAGGGTTATGAAACTGTCTTTGAAAAGAAGACTGAACATGTTGGTAATATGAACAGAATAAATAAAGGGACATTTTAATCCAAGTTGCTAAGGAGCTTTGAAGAGAAGTGTTTACACAATAAGCCTTGATTAACTGAAATATGACTTGAATTAATCTAATTCCCAGAATTTGTATAATGTATCAAACCATAAACCAGTGTTTCTCAACCTTGGCAACTTTACGATGTGTGGACTTCAACTCCCAAAATTCTCCAGCTAAACCAACCATGTAAAGGGACTGTGTGTAAGCTAGGCTAAAATATGTTTAGCAAAGTTATAACTCAGTGTGAGCCTGCTGAAGAGACTGTTGGGAAATAATACAATTTCATCCCAAGTAAAAAGAAGTATGTGAATTAAGAAAAGGAAAGATAGCATGTTTGCTGTATGTACAAAGCTGTATGAAGCAAATGTGCTTTGTTTTAAGAAGACAAATAAATATAAGCAAAAACCAAACTTTCTTGGTAGGCACCAAGTAATAACAATGCAGACTCCTTTGCTTTCGGGATTGAATAGAATGGAAATGGAGAAGAAAGAGGGACGAAGGCTTAGACCTGCAATTGGAAATAGTTGTTTCCTCCATTCCCGTGTATTCTAAATGGGAAAACCCCCATCTTTTATCACTTCCAGCCAGCCTGGCCAAAAATTGCATTGTCTGAAAAGAGGGGGACGGGAATGATTACTACAAGTTGGAGACCGTGAGAAACGAATGAACTCCCTGCTGAGTACATATGCATACTACAGATTTCTTGTTTAGCACTTCGTGAATGCATACTTGATATTCATTGCAACCTACGCCGGAGCAAACAAAGCAGTCAACATCCATAACTGCACGCCCTCCCGCCAAAGACGCAGAAATCGGATCCTTCGGTGGGTTTGGGCGGTGGACGGAACGCAAAGGGTCTTGCTCTGTAAAGGGGTGTGGCCTCCAGATCTACTTTTGTATCATCTTTTTTCTATGCGTCCCTCTTTCACTTTCCTTTCGCCTTTCCCACATCTCAACCCACTTTATACCGATCCCAGCCGCAAGCAACCGAACGTATTACTTGTCGTCTGCTGCAACTCAATCGGAAGATTAACTGAATCCGAGACCCGAAAAAGTCCTTCTGCTTAAATTCATTTGAAAGGAACAAAACATCCCGCTTTCTCATTGGTCCAAATTAAATCCCGGGTTGTCTTTCTTTCTTTGTTTTAATTAGGTGACATCAAAGAGGAAATGCGGACGTGGAGAGAAAGGCTGGAGCAGAGATGGTTGTCATGGAGAAGATTCGAGCAGGGGCTGGGAATACAAATCCCGAGAGCAAACGCGGCGGCTGCGCGCGCATTCTATGTCTCGCTTTTCTCTTTCCCATTGTTCCCCTAATCAAATGCCTGTTCCCAATTCCGCACATGCGTACTTGTGGTTCCAACCGAATGTGGTCACGTGCTTTCTCCTACTCATCCTCCCGGTGCAAAAAATTAGCGCGAGTTGAGTAGTTGCTTCCTCTCCTCCCTTTATCTAATCACAGTTGGAAACGTAACCAATCATGGCTACCAGAGAACTGGCTAATTTGAATATTTGTAAATTCTCAACCTTTCTCCTGAAGAATTAATTATGATCTGCTGTTGCCATAGATTGGTCTATAGTACCGTAATTTTATAAGAGCTATCATGACCTTATGATTCTTTGATAGTTGACGATGGCATTTCTGCTCCTTCCTTTCTTAAGTAGTGTTATTTTTGCTAAATAGTCTTAACAAACCAAATGCTGAGATGTTTAAAGCCTTTGAGGGCAAGGAAGGAAAATGCACGTGTTCAGTAATATTTTTCTTTTCTAATTGCCCATGATACAACAGGAATGCTAAATACTCTTATTATTCATGGAATATGAGCAATTGAATAGTTTTTACCAACAGACCAATTATTGCTAAAAGACACACATAATTGGGAGATGTCAAGAATTAACATTGTGATTTAAATGCCACTTGTTCTCTGCTTATTTTGCCAATTTAAAAAAATAAAGCTTGATATTGTAATACTTAAAATCAAATTATAATGCATCATTGAGTCACCTTCACAGACATTTCTATGTCTTTTTAAAAATTGATCTTTCCTTTCAAAATGAAGGCAGGCAGTGTCTGCCATGTTTTAAAAATCTCTAATAGTGTTTTTTTTTAAAGTTTTAAAAGTTTTAAAAAAGATTTTACTATATAAACTTACTTGGCAGTAAATCTCATTGAAATTCAAATTAATTCTAAACAGGAATAGGATTCCTCAGTGGTAGGATTCAAATATGTGAACAACCAGTTCTCTGGATGCTGCTTCCGGAAGTCCATTCTGGCCCTGGGCAACAAAAAATTAGCTACTGGTTCTGCCGAAGTGGTGCGAAGCAGCTGAATCCCACCACAGATTGTACTGTTGATACAACCTATAATTTAAGATATAAATGTAGCACAATTCAAATTTGTTCTAAAACATTTATTTACATTTCTATATCATCTTTATATCTGTATTAGATATATCAACTTCCTAATGCTTTTCCTTATTTAACCAAAACTGGTTCATTCACATGCAGTAGATAACTATGATACCAATCTTTAGAGAACCAAGTTTGCAAGAGTATAAAAATCTTTGAGAAGAAAAAAAACCTCACCAAATGGAACTCCCACCCCTCATATAGCAATAATATGCCATAAAGTGTCTCTCTATACATATGGATACATATACTCTAATGAAAAATTATAAAAAGTATCAAATTGCCAAGTATTTCCTGAATATGTGTTAATAACCACAATGAAGTAGTTTTGTTTAATGAAGTCTAAGCAGCAGTACATAATGTCATAACATGGCTAGGGTTTAACTACCAACAAACAAACTTATGTCAAATAGGTAGTCTTCAAAAGTTCCAGCATGTCAGCTGCCAACAAGATAGTATTGTAATAGGAATTTCCACACCACGCCCCCTAGCGTGCAGCCAATGAAATATAGGCTGGCTGAATATAAGATTGCAAACATTTCCTCTCTGTTTCATACCTTGCTTATGCTTAAACGAGCCATGGGGATTTTACTCAGCCGGATTTATGATGCTTTCTATGGGGTGGAAGCGCGTATTCTCCTTCTGGGTCTGGATGCTGCTGGCAAAACAACTCTGCTCTACAAGCTGAAGCTGAATGAAACAATTTCAGCCATTCCCACTGTGGGCTTCAATGTAGAGACAGTTCAATCTTTCCACAATGTCAGTTTCACCATGTGGGATGTTGGTGGACAAGAGCGCATCAGGGCCTTATGGAAGCACTACCATACCAACACAGATGGGCTGATTTTCATAGTGGACAGTATGGACTATTATCGTTTTGAAGAAGCTAGGCTGGAGTTGGAGGCATTACTGGATGCTGACGATTTGCGAGGGGTGCCTTTGATGCTGCTAGCAAACAAACAAGATTTGCCTGAAGCACGGTCTTCCATGGAAGTGGCAGAAAGGATGGGAGTGAGGAAAATATCAGGACGCAAATGGCGTATTCAGGGTTGCTCTGCTCTAAGTGGTGTGGGGATCCCTGAGGCTATGGAGAAACTATCGGAGATGGTCAAGGCGTATCGCAAAACTAAGAGGACCATCTGAGTTCAACATATGAAGAATACAAGGTTTTCTGCTTAACTCTTTCCTGTTTGCAGCAGAGTCTTGCAAAATGCCTCTTGGATCCCATTTACTCCTAATTCTCTTAGTGAGTCATGTGAAAAAACATTCTTTAATGTTGGGACTGATTTTGAATATAGAGTAGGCTATAAAACTGTGTTGGACTAAATAACAACTGGACTTTTTAAAAATGCAGTTTACATCTTCATCTTCATACTGAATCAAGTTGAGAATTCCAAGACTTGAATAAATGAGACTCTAATACCAACAATGGCTCTTTAGTTATCAGAGGCCAATTCTTCTGCTGTATTGGTGATAATTCTAGTTGTATTAAGAAAGTCTATACCTTGCTTCATATCATATAAAAACTTATGTAACAATAAATAGATTGCATGTTAAAACTGGTGTTTCTTCTTTGGCGTTTGGGTGAAATGTACCATTTATTCTCTACTTTTCTAAAACACTGAAGTATTCCAAACACAGTGTACTATTAGTTTTTGTTTGCTTTTGTGGGGGGAAAAGCTTGTCTCTCGTTTTATGTTCCTTTGATCTAAGCATTTTACTGCTCTTAATTCAGGTGTTTTTGGAAGGTGCTGGTTATTTTGAAGGGGAAGGGGGCATTGTTCCCCTGATAAATAAAACTTCACAAATCTTTTAGCTTTGAAGGCTTCCTGGTTATTCTTCCAAGCATTCCCCCCTTTAGGCTTCTATGTGAGCTTGAAAAAGTATATATATATTTGAAGTGTGCATAGCCCTAATAAATATGCATTAAAAAGACAATGGTGGCTGATGAACACTGGCTATAGTAAAACCATATCAATATAAAATCCTTGCTCACTTTATATCATCTTTTACTAGGTTGCAAACACTTTTCAACCTTTTCTTAAACTGAAGTTCAAAACAATAGTGTTAAAAGAAAGCACCAGATGGCTGAAATAGCATATTCAGATAAGAAAAGAGGTAGAACCTGGAAGCAAAGTTAGAAGAGGGATCAGCCTAGAATTCTAAATAGCCAATAGCAAACGGAGTACAAACCACCTTTAATCATTGATTCAGTCAGGTTAGTTGAAATGATTCATACCTATCATTAACAATAACTTAGTTTAATTGGACCTGATCTTTCATACCTGACAATTCAGTAATTGTTAAGTTCTAGTAAATTGCAGAGAAAAGTTTCTGGTGTAAGGCATTAATGATTGTTAGTGATTATAAAGTTATTTACTTTTTTATACTTGCATTGTAATCCATATCATTCCAGTTCTAAAAGTCATAGAGTATCAGACAGAAATGTACTAGATGTGTATTATTAAAACAGTTGGATTTATGTCTGATGAATTTCTTCTGCATATGGAATTTGGAGGAAGCACTATTTCATGTAGAGAGGTACATGGGATACATTCCTGTATCAAGGGGTGGGGTTACATTTGAATGTCTGCTTGGGCATATGGCTCTAGAGTTCCAAAGTAAGCCTGAAAGAGTAGGACAAAATGCAAGTAGGCAGGTAAGTATGACTGGTAACACCTTCATAGAATGGTGACTGGATCAGGTTTTTGCAGTTTACATTACATAGATGCTGAACTATCTACTTTATAGGGAACTATAGTAAATTAAGGATTGCCTCAAAATGATGATAGACATGCAGTGGTGGTTTGATGCAAGCACTATCCTGACATTTAGCAAAAGTATTTAAGGGCACCATGCTGCATGTTTCATCACTTGTCTTTCTTGTAAAACCTATACAATTTCCTGGCTTGTTTGAAGCATGGATAGAGATTGGGAGCATTTAATGTCAACTATTATTCAAGCTTTTTAAATTAATATGCAAGATTTTATAAGATCAATAACTTATCAATACAACTTGAATGAATTTTTCTGAGTTCAGTATGAGCAAGTAACATACCATTTTTGAAAGAGTACTTGCATATGGGAATGTAGTTTCCTTGTTTCTGCCAAAACAGGCTTTCTACATAACAGGGAACAGTAATCAACTTAGTTCTCCAAGCCAACCCTTTTTCCCAGATCAAATTTTATGTTTGCTTAACATATTTCCATCAATCCGATTAGATTGATTCTTCAGTAGTTGTTCATTTTTGAGCCACTACTTTTTATTTAATAATTCCAGAATGTTGGCTTATGTCAGCAAATAAAGTTATCCCAAGAATATAGAATGATTTTTGACACAACAGATCAACAGAATTTCTGTGTTTTTTCTTATTTTTCTTATTTTACATAACTGACATCCAGAAGGGGGCGAAAAAGTATCATTTCTGCAGACTTAGAACTAAGGGTTATTTCTGTTTTGTTTTTGCAGCTAGTGAATGAATTGTGCTTGTAATGATTGATACACACAATGCTTTTTTGTTTAAAAAAAAAAAAAGGTGCCGGAACTCATGCACAGTTGAAAGCCCTTTAGGGGGGGTGGGGAGAGAAGAAACCGCTTCAGTAAGCTTCCGAGGAGCAGATCACTCACCTGGAAAAGGTCTGTCTCCTTTCTGCGTGCTTTCAATGACAAAAAAAAACCCTGGATACACATACTGGTTGCATTTACACACACACTTAGCATATTCTTACACTTGATTTAGTATATTGTGTGACCCAGCCTGTTTAGTTAATTTATAGTTCAATGTATTATTAGGGTTTTGGCAACCAAATTAAAGATGTGGTGTGAACTCAGCCATTCTCTTTGAAAAAAGATTATCTTAAAACAACCTGTTCCATAGTTATAAGTAATTGTTGCCTCATTAAAATAATTCAAAAATCCATTATTATGTGTAACTGTAATTAAATACCAGTATACTAAATGAGAGCACCGACTGGAGGTTAATATTTCTAAGTTAGATTTTACTTAAGGTATTTTCTTAGCTTCTAACCTTTGGAAGTTATTCTGCCAATGGATAAGATACAACCCATCATTGTTATATATCTATTAACAAAATCTAGGTAATGGCACAGACACTATGAGTTAATAGTGGGAGAAGGAAGGCATGCAGCCAACACCACACTTCTCCTTCCTATAGGCTTCTCTCCTCTTTGCAAAAGCATTCAGCCAATGATAAATTTCACATTCCTGTAGGCCCCTCTCCTCTTTGCAAAAGTGTTTTTGCAAAGAGGAGAGGATGTGCATGCAGGAATGCAGGAATGCCCAACCTGTTCTCCTTTCCTACTCTGATATCTTGAGCACTGGAGATCTTCAAAAGGTGAGTGAGTGATCGGTGACAGGGTTGGTGTGGAGAAGGCCCAAGCAGCTGTGGGGATCCTAAGGAGTGAGAAGCGGAGCACGGGATATCTCAGTGGGTAGAGAGAGGCTTTGGATGGCCAGAAGCAGATGGTCTTGTTCCTGCATTAGGCTCCCTTGGTTTTCCCCACCTGAGGTACCCCATGTGCACTTAACAATCTGCACACATTTGTTGGGAGCTGGGATGAGGACTCATTTACTTAATGTGTTTCATTTAATGTCTTCTTGACTTATGATGGTAATGGACAGCTCCGTTTCAGTCGTAACTCAAGGACTACCTGTATTCTTTTTGTGGGGAGAGTGGTATATGACAACCATGCAAAGCAGTATCACCCAGTCTCCTGATATGCTAAGATCCACAACTTCTGGTGCTATGTGATTTTTGGGTGGTGGCAGATTATAAAAGTAATAAATCATTTTCAAATTATTCCATATCTCAGTAATCTCAAACAAACTATCAAGTGATAAATGTTCTTTTATAATTCTGAGATTTCAGGTGGAAATAAGTATATAAACACCAGTTTGGTGTATGGTGAAAGTGCTGGCCTAAAAATCAAGAAACTTGTGAGTTCTAGTCCCGCCATGAAAGTCACCTGGGTAACTTTGGGCCAGTCATTCTCTCTTAGCCCAACCTCATGTGATTCTTGTTATGGGGAAAACAGTAGGAGAGATAACATTTATGTAAGTTCACCACCTTGAGATATTTATAAAGTAATAAAGATGGAATATGTGCTTCTCTGTGTTGTGTGTGTGTAGTGCAAAATTTGACAATTTATGAGTTTTCATGTATTTTTAAAACTGCATTTTAAATCATGGGAGCTGTATAGAGATCCTATGACAATATTATGGGATATATGGTGCATTTGGGTGTCTCACTGATTAACTTTGAGTTACTGCAGGGATTGGCAAACGATGGCTTAGCAAGCTGTGTGAGTTCATTGGGTAGGTCTCCAAATATTTTAAAGGACATCTGCCAGTACACCAGGCAGCACAACTTCAGGTATGCTGGATGTAGTTCAGTAAATCACAATTTGTGCTTTATCGCTTTGACTATAGAAACATTGCTAAATGCATTTTTCTATCACAGAAACGCATTTTAGATTTATATCCACCTTTGATTCAGGAGTTCAAAGTGACATGCGTAATGCTCCTTCTCCAATTTTTCTCCAGAAAATCCCTATAGAAAATTAGACTGAGAATCCCAGACGCCAAAGGAGTGCCTGTTGTGAAGGATGGACCAGAACATGCGTGACTTTTTCTAGTCCAGCACCATCATCACCATTTTGTGTGGCTGGATAGGGAAAAAATGTTAGTATAATTCTATATTTTTATAATTTAATTACTTCTTCAGCTCCATATTCTAACTCACTGGTTTCCCAAATTGCATGAAGAACCCTTTTTAATGTTTAAATCAGGGGTCTTCAAACCTGGCCCTTTTATGACTTGTGGACTTCAACTCCCAGAATTCCTCAGCCAGCATGCCTGGCTCAGGAATTCTGGGAGTTGAAGTCCACAAGTCATAAAAGGGCCAAGTTTGAAGACCCTGCTTTAAACTTTTGTAGAGTCCCATATGACACTAGCAGGACCTTCAGTATCTGTTGACTGAAATAAAGCAATAATAAAATCTAGCATGAATTTAATTTTAATTTTAATTTGAATTCAGTTTTATTTTACTAAATACAATTAAAACACACAGGCATTGCATAGGCAATGGAAGTTTACTTACTATACAAAAGTTAATAATTTTGGGTAGGAGATGCATATTGGTGAGGTTGATGTTCAGATGAGACTTAAAAGGAAGCCAGTGGTATGACCAGGGCTTTTTTTGTCATAGAACGCCCAGATCGGAGTTCCGGCACCTTTTTTGGATGGAACCTTATAGGGTAGGCAAGGCGGGTTGTATGACATGTGTGAGTTCTGGCACCTTTTTTTTTTTTTAGAAAAAAAGCACTGGGTATGACCCAAGGGGTAAGACAGGTGGAGTGTCTTATTTATGGGAGAAGAAAAACAGAAGAGGGGATTGTGACAGATGGGATGCCTTGGTGGGGTAACAGGAGCTCTTAGGGCAGTGAATGCAGAACAAGGAAACATAGAATGGTGATAGTTATGTTGTTAGTAATTAAGAGAAAGAAAAACCAACCATGGGCAGTTCAGTATTGCAACTAGACTGGAAAAAGTAACTAGCCTAAATCAGTTGCTAATCTACCTCCTAAAACAGCTTAGTATTTATCTTTTTCCCTATATTTCAACTCAAGACAATAAAGCATCTGTGTCAGCAGAAGAACCATCTGGCTTGTTTTGTTCTCCATGTTTTATACATATTGTAGACCCCTTGCAATAACTCTGAGGACCCCCACTTAGAGTTTAGGATTAGTGGTTCAATTTGTTGCATAATGATAGTAGGATTTGCCTTTTTCTGGAAGAAACTGTTTATATTTGGTGTGCCCCAAATTATATATTCCCATATTTCATATTATTGTAGATTGGAAATTGCCCAAATGAGATGTGAGGATAGATAAACCAGACCTTGTCCAATCCTGTCACAGTGCTGATTTTGTGAATGTGTGTGAGATATGTGATTTTCTAACAGGAGGCTGCAGTCTTGGCTCTATCTTTAGACAGATCCTGGAACTACTAACCAGCAGCTATTGCTAAAAAATCAGAGTTGGATGTGTCAGGCAACTGGTCTGCTGCTGTTTCATTTGTGTAAACACCTTATATCTGTGCATCACTGAGGAAAAATTCTACTGTGAATCCATCTAGCTTATCTATATGAAACTAGGGAAATAAAATCTTGGGCATTACTTCAGGCAGCAAAATATTTTAAGGCATCTTTACACAGCGTATCTGTTACAATCTTTGTAACTCCTGTGGTAGAAATTTCACCAAGGAAGACCAACAATTATTATCCAGATAATAATTTTATTTTGGTAAAAGCAGCCAAGTGTGAAGAGAGCCAAAGTAAACCTGCAAGAAAGCTACAGAACTTCATCAAAAGAAACAGATGGCACATAGTTTAAACAGAAAATATAAAGGAAGAAACTACTTTTACAACTGATAAGACAGGATCTTTAATTAATTCCCGAGTGCAAGCAGAATTTCTTCTGAAAACCAGTCTAATCCTGTTTTTTCTGGTATGCTTAATTATCTGAGCTGATATATTAAGTGGTAAAATGGTCTCAGTTTAGAATCATTTCCAAGACTAACTTTACTACTAGAGAGTAGATATTTAGAATTCACTACATAAGATTCACTGGATACGCATATGCACGTATCTCTCTCCATTCTGAAAAAAAAAGATATATTTTCAATAAGTAATCAATAAGTACTTGAAAAAGATAAACCAATGCTTATTTATCTGAATTGAATTGAATGGAATACTTTGTTTGAATTTGTCTCCTGTACAGAAACACTCAGTGTACATGCATAATCATAATATAAATGAAAGCAAGAACAAAGAAAATAAGAAGGATAAATAATACTACTACAGCCATGCTATATGGATTAATTTATATGGATATTAGCACTGTGAGAGTTAGGTGTTTAGCAGAGTGATGGCAATGGAGTAAGTACTCCATTGTTACAAATTTAAAGTTTTCTGCACTGGAAAACATTTCCCCAATTTTTTATAAAGGCAGCAACATAACTTAAAAGATAAAAATGCTACTAAAGTAGATTTTGATATATATAATATTAACTATTTAGCTAACCAATACATTGTATATAATCTGTATGTAAGCAGCTTATCTCTATTACAGGATTCAGTCTTAAAGAATAAAAAGTACACAGTCAAACTAAAAAATAATATTGTGATTTTCAAGAAAAAGAATTCCACACATGTGTTCTATTTTAATAGAATACTCTTAATTATATATTAAGCTTGGACTTTTAACAATCATATAGAGAGAGACATTTCAACAAAGCAGCACATTTCTATCTTAACAGACAGAGATTCTGGTTATAAGATTGTTGCAACTCCTTAATGCTGGAGGTACAACACTACAGTCCAATCTGAAGCTTCCAATAAATTGACTCTATGCTAAAGCCCCAAAATGTATTAATATTTTGTTTTCAGCAAAGGCTCTTTTTTTAAAAATCCTTTCTATACGGTGACAAGACTGGTGAAAACTTGTTAGTTCCTTTATCAGTCTCAACATCATTAAAAAAATTGGGTTCAGTCTTCAGATCATTTTCTGATACGATAGTGAGCTCCCTGACAACAGACATGGAATATTTTTGTAACTGGGAAGAATAATTGTTGCTTTGCCTGAACAGCATAAAATAGAAGCAAAGCAAGCAAAAATGCAATTTTATTCTTTGCTACTAGCAGAGCTAGAAACCACGATGAAGTCAAATATACATGTCCCAGGATAATGTTGCAGGATCCAATCTGGATTGGTCACAGAGGTTTAGTCTTCCAAACTTTCATTGTGCTGGAGTCCATGTGCTAGAAATATTCTCTCTAGTAGAGCTAGAAAACTCTAACTGCTTATCATGAACGTGATTCATTATTCATAGATTAAGGGTAGAGGAAAAAAGCATCTTATTTTTAAATATAAGATTTAAAAATGGAAAATTCTGCTTCCAAAGCAAAAGCATAATGTATTATTTAATTTAACACATGCGTCACAAGAAAATTAAACTAATCAGTACTTCAGACCTAACAACAGACTTCAGCCTTGTATGTCAAGTTTAGCAGATCAAGTATCTATCCCTGCCAGATCATACAAAGGAAAGAAATGAAAGAAAAAAGGCATTAGTGTAATAGCTTCGGTGGTGCAAGCAGGCTTAATCTTGGTCTAAGCGATGGCAAAAGACATGATCATCGTACACTTGCTTGTTTGAGCTGTCAAAGGTTTTATCGCAATATGGACAGTCGAGGATATGATTTTGCACATGATCCAAATACTGTTGTTGTCCAATGTCATTAGGGAAGACTTCCTGGCAAATGGGACACCTTTTTTGGGAGACCTAAAAGAAGACAATGCAAAAAAATTTTTCAAATAGCTTGTAACTGCATGATATAAATTGCTATTACAGGAATGGGCAAGCTTTGTTTTGTGGCATTCTGGCAAGTGATGGAGTGGAACTGTAGCTAGCAGAGAAAAAGGAGATGGATACCTCAAACCAACAAGTGCAAAATATTAAGTGACTAAGGGCCCGCAGCATTAATCTGCCTTTCCCTCAGTTCTAAACAAGGCTGGTTTAAAGCACCAAAGGAGTATTAAGGACCATGATTGTAACCAACAATTGCAACTTTAATTACCATGTATCCTTTCCCCTTTTTCTCTAATTCTTTTCACTGTAACACTATCTTTACTGTGTGGTTTCAGGTTTTTTTTGCATTGTGCTCAATAATAAAGACATTAAAAGTGAAAACTCACCGGGTCCATCTCAGCAACTTCTGGTGATGCTGTAAAATGAACCGAAGTGAGAAAAACAAAACACTTTGACATTAGTTAATATATAGCATCAGTAACACTTTAAACTACTGTGTGATGGTAGAAAACAATGATATCAGAAATCAGTCATGGAGTCTATACACTTGTATATATATTTGTAAGGTCTGGCAACATATAATCTATTCCATCTTATTTGGACATACAACTCACAGAATCTGCCAATGTCCATTTCAGGGCATTATTATTATTTCTCAGGAAAATATAACATATCCAAAAGAAGTAGCACTTCCCATAACTGCAAAATTTGGTATAGTATTCCTTCACTTATGCTTAGTGACTGTTCAAAATTACCATGGACCTCACCCCAAAAGGTACTTATAACCTGATTTTAAAGTTCCAATGACTACCCCTGCCTAAAGTCATGTAGACCACATTTTGGGTACTTGGCCACTGGTTTGCATTTATAGCCATTTGCAGCATCTCATGGTCAAGTGCCCACAATTTATGAAGTTTCTCCCCCCAAAAAACAGTGTTTGCTTCTGATCTTTCACAAAAACATCCAATAGTGAACAATGGGTTTGCTTAACAACCACTTAACAACTGCTGCAAAAAAAAGGGACATAAAATTGGATCAGTTATGTGATGACCAACTTTATGATCATCACAACTTACGTCAATAATGGGGCAACTCCATTATGGTCATGAGTTGAGGACCAACTGAACAATTAAATAACACAGCATTGGATGAAGGTTCGTCCTCTGGGCTTGTGGGTTGGTTTCCAAACGTTTCGTTACCAGGCTAGATAACATCTTCAGCAGAGTTTAGGAGATGTTGGTGCCAGTGTTCTGTTTATAAGGGCTTCAGGTGAGGATGTGTCAAGTGAGGGTTTTTTGATGGGTCAGGTATGAGTCATCAGTGAGACGCTTGTGATGGGTCTTGTGATGGAGAGGTTACATCACAACACATCAACACAGCACTGGATTATCAATTAACATACTTTTGCTGCTAGTTTGAACCTCCCCACTGGATGTCTAACACCACTCACCAGAATATGGATTTCCAAACAGGAGCATAGAATTAGATGGTGACTGGGATAGCAGTCCAGCAGATGAACTGCGTATTTCAGGGAGGCGTGCCCTCAACCCCTCATTTTCCTGCCATAATTTCTGTAAAAAAAAAAAAAAGCTAAAATGCAAAACCAGTAACTTTGAAGTTGTGATATATAGCTAGCTGGGCCAAGAAACAGTTGTTTGCATCTGAAATATAGGAACAAAATTTCCCTGCTTGCACCTGGAAGCTGATTTCTCACCAGTCCCATAATACAGTTTCACAGTGGGAACATCCACACAAAGGTTTGCAACAGTACAAAAGCAGCTGTAGATTTTTCTGGACTTCATACTACTGATTGATCTAAGGACCTGGAAAAGTTTATTTTTATTCTGTACTGATTTAAAACTGAACAAAATTGGATGTCACCTTTTGCAATACTGCAGAGTTTGTAAGCAGGTTCTTCTATACTGAAAACTTTTGCTTATCCCACCTCCTGCAATCAAAACTCAGATTACTTTCTCTTTTCTCTTCCATCATATATTATCGGTGTCCTATTCCTAGAGTTTGTCTACAGGTAAAATTTAGTATGCACTTGCCACTGAAGCAACATGCAACTATGGTTATAACTAGCGAGTAAAGTGTCTGCCTACAAAAATGCCAAACATTATTATTTTACTTTTTATAGTTTGCACACAATATTGTACAATACAGTAGCACTGTGCAGGAGAGAGAGAGAGAGAGAGAGAGGGAGGGAGGGAGGGAGAGAATTATGCAAAGGCAAGCTTTCAATGGCCTGCCAGATGCCAAAAACATGGTTCATGTTTTTAGGATAGGCCCTAACTAACAAGTGCAGGCTGCTGGGAAGCTTCATGCTACAAGTGAAGATACTGGGTAGAGACTCGGCTACAAATTGTGCTATCTGATGTTGACTGCAGGTGCCAGGTATGTTTGCTCATCCTACTAACAATCTTTAATGGCTTCTACCTGGCCATCCTTCACTTGAATCTGTGAAACTGAAGGAACTGTGCAAAACTTTGATGAGGTTACTCAATAATGCTACCTTAACCAATCATCCTATGCTTTGCAGCACTCTGGGGGAAGAATTCCATGCAGCCATAAATAGTATTTCCAAGAAGTCCCCAATATAGGTAAAGATAAAGAGTCAAATCACCTTATAAACATCTGCACAACTATATATATCTGCAATACTATAATGGTAGCAGATTTGACTTAGTGCTAAAGGCTGAATTATTGTTTAAGAATGGAAGAAGCACACCTGCAGATTATTCACTGAGCATAATGTTCTATCAAAACGTATTTTATAAAAAACATTTGAAACAGGTTTTTAAGCAGCAGAGAGAAATATTAAAATGATGGCAGGGAAACTCTATACTTTGTGAATTATTATTGTGTTTTCTGGAATGACAATGGATATGAGTTAACTATTTAACATTTTTTAGAGACATTAGATGATTAATCCACACTCTTTTAGGTTATAACAGTTTCCTGGTATTGAAATATTACAGTTTTTACAACTTTTTTCACAGGCAATCATATTTATAATGAATAATATGTTTCCCAAATGCACATCTCATGGGAAAAGGCAGGTGTTCTGCGCATTGAGGCAAGCAAGAATAGTGGCTTACCCATCTGTCTTTGAAATGTTTGGGAATTAAAATATCCAGAATTCTCAGCCACAAGGAGGCCACTAGACTACAAAAAGCTGTCACAAGCAACTTCTATCTGTCCCTAACTGCACAATACTGCCCTCTGCACAATAATTCAACAGTAGCATCTCTCACCACTCCCCACATGACAAAGTTTGCACCTGATTTTCTTGCTCTATTTCATCTTTTTCCTTCTTCAGGATTTGAAGTGCAAGTGTTTGTTCTTCCTGAATCTTGTTCAACTTTTGCTGAGAAAAGAAAAAAGCTGAAGCATAAATAGAAGCTAAAGGCAAATGATAAACATCTTTCTCCCCCCCCCAAATCCTTATTTTATACGTCTTCCACTAGAACTCAGGGTTAAGATCCACTTAATTCTTAGAGTAGTAAAGAGTAAGGTGGAGTAACGTTAGGCTGAAAGATAACAGGGAGTGCAAGATCTTCCACTAAATCTCAGGACTGGGAACTTAAATTCGGCATGCTCCATCTTTAACTACTATAAAATCCAGCAATTCCAGAAAGATAATAGGGTTTACACTGGGTGCCGTAATCAAATAATCTCTGTATAATTCTAAAGCACTGATAGGAGATTTTGTTGTTTTAGGCACAAATAAAATGGATGAAGTGTACAGCAGGGAGACATTGGAATTGGCCCAGTCAAAAATGTGCACCCAAACTCTGTAATAGTAGGATTTATAAAATAAGTGAACAGGCACTTAGGTATGAGAGAGAAAAGAACTTTATATATGGACAGGTAGGTGGATAGATATATATTTTTTTCTAACTGATTCAAGAGAAATGGAACGCACGGTGTTTAGGACAAGCTGCAATGTAGGGCAAATAACAGAATAACATGGCTATGGAGGGATATTTCTGCCCAAAACTGGAGCAATAAGTTCATTAAAGGTTTTAATAGGGAAAAGAGACAGAATAAAAGAACAGCATACACAAAGTCAAAACATGTGGATTATCCCCCAATGTGGAGCCCAACAGAACATACCGGTAGCTCAAAACTTCCACCTTAATGTATTCCATTTTTTCTCCTTGACTAGGCACTCAGAAAAAAAAAGACAATGGACAGATTGGGAGCCTCAAACTAAAATGATCACAGATGCCGAATGAGAACTAACTGAAAATCATACCTGGGATGATATAACCTAAAACATTCATTCCACTGTCAAAGTCCTGCTTATATTTTTCTTTTTATTGTTAAGCAAATGAATTCTTGTTTTCTTTCTTCCTTGTTTATCATTGTTTACCCTTAGCAGAGAGGTTTTGCTTGCTAACTCTCCTTCCGACTCTTGGCTCTTATGGTAGAACTGTGAGCCTTCATCCTTGTCACTGTCCCCTTTCCCCTCCTAAGCAGAAAGTGCTTCAGCATAGTCCATCACAGCACCTCCCTCTTCATAAACACAGTCAACCACTGAAATCTGCAAGGTTAGTTTATGGAAGGCCATTGCTGTTTCATTGTGCACTTCAGAAAATGATTATTATGTGCTGCGTTTGAGTCCCTTGTAGACAAAACACTTTCTGGCTGCTTATAATCTGACGGTGGTGCCTGAAGTCTGGAACACAAACTGCTGGGAGGGGTTGGGGCAATGGAGAAGGGATATAGAGGCAAAGAGTTGTTTACATTCTTAAATGCTGATTGCTTATGTGCCATCCAAGGAAATTACTCTCTGAGGTTAACTGTATCTATGAAGGGAAAGGTGGTGTGATAAACTACAGTGAAGTGACCGTTTCCCAGGAAGAAGGGATAATAAGATTTTTGCAGAATAATCTGCAGCAGTTAGATTATCTGGGGTATAGGATCTCCATGGAGGGACTGCTTCATTAGATTAATAAACTATGCTCTTTCTAGTGAAGGATGCCCAAATTTAAAGTTATTTAGGGTTAAAAGACTATATAGCAAAAGAAGAGAAAAAATGTAGGAAAATTACCTGACTAAACAAGGCAGCGTTTAATTGATAATTCTCTCCCTTCAATTCTTCCACATGCTTTACTTTATCTTTAATGGTCTCCTGCAGGGTTTCCACCTCCTTCTGTTGACTTTGCACTTGCAACTAACAAAAGGGAGAGATGCACATCATTCCCCAAATGCAGATCAAGAAAAGGAACCATTATTAGGCAATCAGGGTCAAAGTTAGTTTTAGGTCAGTTTTATAAAATTTCCTAAATTTGATAATTATGAAATTATATAATTCTTGAGAGATATGGAAGCTAAAAAAAACCCTTAACAATTTAGGCAGATATTTTGGATAATGCCACAAAATGATTGAGTTCTTTCAGTAGCTGACGTGACTAAAAAATAAAAAATCTTCTGTATTCAGAAATCCTCTACTCTCTATCCTTCAAAAATGGCATCCTGAGCGGTTGGGAGTTTTTTTTTCCCCTGTTGATGAATGACTGATTTCGCTGCTGATTTCGCTCTTTGGAGGTACTTGTTCCTTAGATCCAAATAGGAGCAACTAGAAACAATCCCAGATGACTCTCAGATGACTATACTGTAAAGAGAAGCCTGGATGATTGCAATTCACAGTAAGAACGGCCAGAGAATCAGGAATTTTGTTTGGGGGTGGGGGTGGGGGTGTTACTACAATGGCCTGAAATTTGAGTCACTCATAATTCCCTTCATTCCAGGCAATCATAATGTTGAATGGTCACTGAATCAATGGTCATAACTCAAGGAATATCTGTTTATGAAACAACTCAGATTAAGGGTTTTAATTCTATGATGTTGAATGTTAAGCATACAGATGCAGGGTAAATATACATAGGGAGTATCTATTGACAGAAGTTGTTCCTAAATTTAGATAAGGATGAAAATGTGTATCAGAATTCATTGCTTCATCGGGAATGTGAAACAATTAAATATATTTGGTCTTATCCATTCAAGCACAAATGCTGTTTCTGATTCTCTAAAGTTGGCTGACAAATTGGCTGACCAGGAGTTAATTATTTTAAACCCTTAAGAAAAGACCCCAGCGCTGCTAACTCACTTGAAGTTCTTCTGTTTGGCACAAAATGGTTCTCAGCCGGTTTCCCACCTGTTCTTTCTCAGATAACATAGATTCTTTCTCTTCTTTGATCCTGTTTGGAAACAGGCATAGCAGATTATTATTATTTCCTTATTGCATTTATATGCTACCAAGAACAATAGTTCTCTGGATAATTCAGAGGATAAAAGTTATACTGTACCTATATAGTATGCAAATGCAGTATTTTTTGCTTAAATTTAACTCTGTCAGGTAGAAGTAACCAAAACCATTCCACAAACAGGCCCAAGTAGATACTTTACTGCTGATCACCCATATTACAAGAATCTTGCCAGACTGTCTGCCTTCCCTTGGGAAATGGCAAATATAGACCTAAGGGTTTACCTCAGACTTTCCTGCCCTGAAATAACTCCAGGCTGGAATGTTTTTTACTCTCTCTAGAGGGAACCCTTTCCTTCATCTGGTGATTCTACCATATCATGACCTCCTCTCTAAACAAACCCTCCCCTTCCTCCATTTTGTCTTCTTTGTCTGAGTTCTCGTGGGAACTGGACAATGGGGATAGTGATGACATGAAATGTAAGAATATTCGTCCTCCTCCATGTCCAAGGAATCCTCCCAGTCAGGTGGCTTTCCTGCAAAACATCTAAAGCATTAGAAGGGTCCTCCCCCCACTTTCCCTCAGGAAGTGAAGACCCAAAGTTGAAGATTGAACTACTGCCAGTTTCACGGTTCTCCCTCTGAATAATTAACCCCTTCACTCACTGGTTCTCCTCAGGTTAAGGACTGAAGCAGGTACTGGGAGCATGGAATATCTTGGCTTGCTTCAGAAGCGCTTGTGAAACTTTTACTAATTCTGGAGCATCCATGTACTTTGCATTTTCTCATGAGTGCTCTGCTTCTGAGTAGCCCTTCCAGTGAATCAAACACTGTATTCTTTTCCCATCTTGAGTCCAATGTTTCCCTCACTTCAAATTCCCTTTGCCTTCAACAATCATGGAGGGGGGTTGGGTGGGTGGAGGCTACCAATGACTGTAAAGTGCCTCCTTCACCAGCAATGAAGAATGAAAGTGGGTGCACTTTGAAAGATGGTGGCATCTGCAAACAAAAGTCCACAGCATTGACCTATCATAGGACCTTAAAAGCCTCCCCAAATTTTGCCTGTAGTTTGAGAGTCTGCTATAAGTTAAAAATGTAGTAGGCAGCCACAGATAGTCCACCTTTGCAATTGCTAGCCTCTCTTATATTGTTGTTGTGTGTGTGTCTAAGGACCTCTTGTAATACTGTTTAATTTGGTCTAGCTGTTCTTTCAACAGGGCCTGAGCAGTGCATTGCTCTTCTGGAAAATCCAGGCCACAAGCATGCAACTCTATTGTGAGGTTGCAGATAAAATCTGTGACTGTTCCCCATAAGGCCTGGAACCGGGTGATTGCAATTGATACATGGGTAGAATTACTATATACAACATTAGCTAATGAATTAAGTGATGGCCAATTATGTTGGCTGTATGTACCTCAAATACTGTTGTAATATCTGGTTGTTAGTGAAGAGATCTACCACTACCATTATGGATATATAACCTGTACTGGTGTGGAAAATCTGTTCTAAAGTCAAATGATACTGTATGCCAAGGCTGGGGGAGTGAGGGTGGGAATATTTTTACGGATTTGTCCCTTTGGCACACTTGGCATAGTCTTTGATGTCTGGTGTGATCTTAGGCCACCAAAGTCTCTTAGTGTTCTGTGCAGTATCTTGAAGTTTCCTCCATGTCCAGCCGTCTCACTGCCATTTCAAAGTTGTAGCACTTTCTCCCTTAAAAGTACAGGCATGAGGATTCTGTCTTTATGCTGCATGGGTCTCCTAGAGGTCATCCATCCAAGCCCAAACATAAGGATCTTGCTGCTGATATGTCTTGATTCTGGTGAACAAATCCTGGACCTGTTATCCTGCTGCCAAATGTCTTTGCTAATAATTGCTAGTGCCGACTAAAGTTGAAAGACTGTAATACCCTTGCAGGATTGGTGCTTATTGCAACTGAAGATACATGGCTTGTGAAATAGGAGTGTTAGGTAACAAATATAGCACTGCTTGCACCTTAGTAAATCTGCAGACTATTTGTTGAAATCCTGTAGCCTAAGTAGTCCAATTGGGAGGTCAAAGGCGCATTTCTCAAGCTTGACAAACAGCTTATTTCTCCTGTAGCTTTCACAACATCTCCCTAACATGCTGCACACAAGCCTCTACATTCTCAAAGGCCATAAAGATGACATCCAAATAAATTATTGCAAGTTTGTCATATCCGGAAAAAAATGGTTCATGAATTTATAAAATGCTACTCCACAACTAGCCAATCCAAAAGGCATAACCGTATAGCAGTAATCCTCGAATTACGACCACAATTAAGCCCCAAGTTTCAGTTGCTCAGCAAGGCAATTGTTAAGTTTTGCCCCATTTTATGATCTTTCTTTGCCACAGTGATTAAGCAAATCTCTGCAGTTGTTTGGTGAATCAAATGGTCATTAAGCGAATCTGCCTTCCCTCATTGATTTTGCTTAGGGGAAGCCAGCTAAGAAAGTTACAAATGGTGACCACATGACCCCAGGACAGTGCAACTGTCATAAATACATGCCAGTTGCCAAGTGACCAAATTTTGATCATGTGAGCATGGGGGTGCTGCAGTGATCGTAAGTATGAAAAGAGTTATAAGTCATTTTTTCAGTCCCGTTATAATTTTGAACAGTCACTAAATGAATGGTTGTAAGTAAAGGACTACCTATATTCAAACTTCCCACAACCTGGTATCAAAGACTATCAAAATAACCTTCTTTGATTATACCAAGATTATATGCATTCCGAAGATCCCAAGTACTTGGTAAATATGTGAGCATTATGGAATCTGTCCATCAAATCTCATAGCAGATAATTATCCGTTATTTGTAAGATTGTCAGATCCTTGTACTAGTGTACTGTGAGCATCAGAACTTCTCCCTTCAAGTTTGGAATACCTGCCTCTTGCTTCTTTGGGGAAAAAAAGTAGGCACTGAAGATAGTGATTTAGAAGGTCTTTTCTCTAAATTTGAATACAAATACTTGATTGAAAGCTCTTTCGCTAATACTGATATTATGTCTGGAACTTAAGCTCCAGGCTTCAACTCAACATTACAGTCATAATCCCTGTGCAGGGGGAGGATTGAAGCCTCATCTTCCCCCAAAATGTCTGTAAAATTGGCATATGTGGTTGGCTATTTTAGCCCCTCTGCCTGAGGGTATCCAGCAGGCCTGTGGAAAACTGCAGATTGAGCTTGCAGGCTGAAGAGGGGAATGAAGTTGCTCTCTTCTCCCAATCTACTGTTGGGTTATATAACTTTAGCCATGCTGATCCTAAGATGATTGGTGCCTGGTATGCTCTCCAATTGTCAACAACAACGGTACTGTACACTGCATGATGAGACCCACTCTTAAAGGCTGCCTGTCTCTCATGTCTAACTTCATGGGAGCAGGCAGGTCTACTGTAGGTATATGTAACTCTTCTACTGATTGTAAGTATATGAAATTCATGGTAACCCCAGAATCATGCAAGGCTTCTTGTTGTTCCTCACACCCAGAGTCAAAAGATAATCTGACAGAAACAATTAAGAGTATACTATGGTCCAAATGAAATTGAGCTCTCTTTACAAGATGGATGGTCCCCTCTGCAAGCTCTTGAGAGAGGGGCCATTGTTGTTTCCTTAAATTGGTGTTTGGTGAGAGGAGTGAGGCTCTTTTGCACCCTGATCAGTCATCCCGCTCTCTCTCCATGACCCCTTGGCCGGGCAAGCTCCGACATGCTCCGGTTTGCCACAGTAAAAACAAACTGCTGAATCCCGACGTCTTTGTCTTTCTTTAGCAACTGCCATTCTTCTGGATGTTCCCAACTGCATTGGCTTTCCCATCTCTGGATCAATTGAGACAGGTGCAAAGTGAGCAGGCCTCATGAAATTTGATCTAACCTTAGGCCTGCACGATTTCTCCTGTTTCCATTTCAATTCTTCCAAATGGGCATCTATGAGCAAGCAACTTTGGAATATCGCCTCTAGATTCTGTGGAACTCCTTGTCTCGCCAGCTCACTCTGAATGTCATCGTGCAAACCACGCTTGAACTGGTCAATCAAGGCTGACTCATTCCAATCAGCATCTGCTGCCAACAATTTAAAATCAGCAATGTATAACTGCACTCTTCTGTTGCCCTGCTTAAGCTGCTGAATCTTGTAACTGGCTGTGACTGCTTGGATGAGATCTCCAAAATATGTTCTGAATCTCTCCATGAAGTTTTGATAATTGTTCATTATTGGGTCGTTGCCCTCTATGATTGGTTGTGCCCATTTGGCCGCAGATTCCTTCAACAAACTCAATATAAATGATACTTTTGCATGATCTGTTGGAAACTCTGCAGCTCGGGTTCCCATAAACAATTCACACTGACCGATGAAGTTTTTCATTTTGTCTGCTTCTCCTCCAAACTTCTCTGGCAAACCACTATGGGAGGAGACTGGTTGCTCTACTACACCTAGTGGGGCCGCTGATGGCTGAACCAACTGAAGTATTGTTGCTTGTAAGTTCCTCATTTCTGCTTCCACTTCCTGTTGATGTAGGAGTAAGGTGTCCATCATCTCTTGTGAAGGCATAGCAGCTGCCTGCGATTCTGCTGCCATATCCGTTGTTTTCTCCTTCCCAGAAGCGCAGAGTCTGGCAAGATTAATGTCAGGCGGAAATAACCAGAACCATTCCATGAATAGGCCCAAGTAGATACTTTTTTTGCTGATCACACATATTACAAACATTTCACCAGACCATCTGCTTTCCCTATAGGTTTAACTTTAGATGTTTACTCCCCTGAACTGATTCCAAGCTAGAATGTCTTCTTACTCCCCTTGGAGGGTCCCCTCTCCTTTAGCCAGTAATTCCTCTGCATCCCAGAGAACAAAGTTTTTAACCACAATATACATATTATCAGTGTTATTATTCTTATTCAAATGCTAGCCATAGCTAACTATATCTACTAAAAAGCCAAGTTCATAAAACTATGCCCTTGCATTTGTTTCCACACAGATAATAAAAACAGAACCAAGGGATTCCAAACATGTTTTTAGGGCTGCATTGAAAAGAGAACAGGGATTTCAAGAATCCAAGGTTTTCCTAGGCTTCAATCACTAAAATTTTACTTAGTGTTATGAGACTGAACCAGCTATCTCTAGGAGGAAAAATAAATACTTACTGCATCAGGTCTGCCTTAATGGCACACTTCTCCTTTTCCAGATCATTCTTTTGGGATTCAAGTTTCTCACATCTGTTCTGTAAAGTGTTCACTCTATCTTGGAGAACCTGAAATGTCAGAGCAGAAAAACAAATAATCAAGATTTCCATTTATTATAATGTCACAGGTAAGAAAAGAGTAATTAACATTTCACTTTTTCTTGTTTTCTTGTCACCTTATTATATTTTTGGCCAGTCTACAGTGAATAATTACTGGATTCTCTTTTCTCTTTGTTTTGGGGTAATTTTGTTTTGTAGGTTTTCTATAGCTTCCATTATTATAGCTAATTCTAAGGAAACCTAAATTCAGACAATTCTGAAGCTGTGTGGTCTCAGCCATCAAAATATCCTCTGTTCTGAAGCTCCCTTATTTTTCTTTGAACACAAAAAAACTCCTTCCCATCCAGAGTGTCCTAACGTCAATACTTTAGTGACTAGGATTCAATCAACTTTTTCTAATCTGGGCATAATTTGTCCCCCTTCCTACTTTTTAAACAAGGAACCATGTAGTGTTCCATGCTTCCCTTTTTAATAACCTGGGTATTACACCAATATACACTCAACATTGTCTGTAGTACAGTGGTCTTTCCTCATTCTCCCCAATCTGGGTGGAATGTTTTCTTAGTAGTTCACTAAAACTAGCATATTGAATAGCACATAGCTATTCCTATCTTACTGTAAGGCAATTTCTGTGGAGACTGTAAACTCTACATCATTTTAGCAAGAAAACACTAGTTAAATGTATTCAGTTTTCTTTTTGTTGTTGTGCTTTGCTATGTTTTGGAGACGGTACCTACCTTAGCTGCTACAACTTTTTCTTGTAGATGCACATTCTGGTCCTGAAGACTTACTAGATCCTTCTTCAGTTTCTTATTTTCTTGAAGCAATGTTTCATTTTGCTGTTGTATTTTCTCCACTTCCCCCTACAAATCAAAAGAACCGAAGTGCATGATATTAATATGTTCTGGAGAGGTGTCCTAGATCCTTCAGGACACCTCAACCCAGAAGTCATTACCAACAAACATTAGATGTTTATTATATATTGTTGGTAATGACTTCTGAGTTTATTAGCCTTTGATTACACGCAATGCTAACTGCATCGGCCAAAACAGTGCATCAAGGATGTTTTTGATCTCTCTTGCTTTCATTTTTTTGAAATATTAAAGAACTGAAAAATAAATAGAAGATCACTTCAGTTAGCCACCATGCTTGCCCCAACTGCACTGTCTTAGTAAGCGTTATTTGTATATTTTATCATCTGTCATAGATGAAGCACTAGCTGTTTGAATTACTGGGACATAAGACATTTTTTTAGATAGAATAATTCAATAGATTTTATTTTTATGAATGGGATGGACTACTTAATTTAAGGTAAGTCACCCAATATATGCAAACAGTGGAAACTGCTAAGACACCTAAGCAAAGTTTCTTTTTCTGTCCATTCTCTATAATAAGTAGCCACTATTGAGATCAGTCTGATAATATTAAAATTTAGTTGAAAAAGGTGGATTAAAAAAACTATTAAAATATTATATCAGTATCTGAACTCCTCCTGTTGATGCTGATGATTCACTCTACTTATTTTAAATGCTGCTTTTCCATCTCCTTTGTGCTCAGAAGTGGATTAAGGGAATATTTTAAAAATACGTACATATTAATGAGCGTTCAATTAAGTTTCCCAGATGTCTAAATAAAGATTACATGGAAATACATACTAGCAAGAGTTCAGCCAAAGATGTCATGGATATAACATGGAATAAGCCTTTTCCCATATCCCATGTTAGTATGCTGCACCCTAACAAATGTATGAGAATTCACTGTATATTAATATATTCTATTCTGAATGTATATTCAATGCCTTTCCCCTACAATTATTTCATCAAATTGCTAGATATACTTAGGGTTAATTTTGATTATTTTTAAAAATAATTTTTACTCTATTGGATGTTTCTTATATGAATAATGTTTGATGGTTTTTATGGCAATATCTCAATATCAAGAGAGACAAAAGTTCTTTGCTAGTCAAGCTGATCAGATTATAGATAAGGTGGAGATACGTTTGTCAAGATACATGTAAATATGTAAATACAGATCCCTACACGCCAATCAAGTAGCTGCCCATTCCCATTGTACAGAACCTATTTTTTTAAAAAAAAAATTATGATGGAAACCAGATTGGAAGGATTATCCTTTTCCTAAAAGGGTGTTATAATGTTTTAAAGATAAAATAAAGTCAAAAAGGCATCCATCTGATGGTGCAGGTTACCATATCTCAGGCAAACCATTATAAGAATGCAAAATGTTTTCAACCTGTTTTGACTTTGAAATGCCTCCCTTAAAGCTTGAAACAATTGCTTCTAATGTGAAACTATTTAAAGTGGATTTGGAATGTTTCAATTCCCAATGAAACACTTCCAAAATACTCAAATAGGTGTTTTATGCTTAGAGCCACTCATTCTGAAGACCCTAACCCTAATCCTATAAGCCTTTTATTCAGTTTAGGACTTAAGAATGGGAACTAACCTCTTTAGTAATCACCAGCATGTCATCCTCAATCTCAGTACGAAATTGAAAAGGGACACTGGCCCCACGGATTTGCCCATCTTGATCAACATAGCAAAACTGATAATACTCATCATCCTTTGGCAGATAGTAGGCTGAAAGAACAAAAAGTCACATTCCATATTTGGAATCTCAGTCATTCATAAGAAATACAAAAGTTAGCTATCTAACATTTAGTTATGGCTTACCCTTCAGAGGTAATCTGTTGGATTCCAAATGGAAGGAGGGCTGACAGCTTTTAAAATTTCTCTCTTTCCCAAGTAGCAAAGCTGACAGTTCTAAGTAGATATCTGACTAAAATTAAAATTAAGCCTAGTTCACCCACCCTTCTTTTCTTCTTTTTTATGACTTCAGTCTCATATTCTTTATTCTTACTATCAACAGCACTCTCGTATCTCAGACTCGCGTCTCGCCATAGCCACTGCTGAGGTGGGGAATGAATGATATCACCAGATTTCCCAGGATACAATTACTGCTGAATGATAATCACTTCTCAAGAAACAGCTTTCTTTTTTCTCTCCAGTGGTAAAAGTTATTGAACCAGGAAATACTAGCCAGTGTATAACAAGTAATTCTATTAGCACTAGGTGAAATTATACTTTTTATCTTCTATAGGAAGGAAAGGAAAGATGACAGACAACTATCAGGATTTTGGGGATGACTTATAATACTATCAGTATCTAACTCTTAATCTAGCAAAATAATAAAAACAATCCATAAAATAAACCTAGTAATTGGCTTCATAGATTCTTTTTAAAGGACTGTTAGTGAATAAAGCCTATATTTCAAATAACCCATTTTGAATGCCACAGTGGCACCATATGCAAGGTTGGATTTCAGCAGATAACAATGTCATGATAACAGTAGCAAGTTTCCTGTTGCAAAACTGCACCATTAATTCCCTTCCCATCACTGACCTTTAAAAAGCACCTGCTGTTGTTCAGCATAGCTGTTCTCAGAATCACTGGGCTCAGGGGCCCACATGAATGTATAGTATTCACGAGTTGTCTTCCATCCCACCTGTAAGGCAACAACAAAATGCATGTGAAGGCTTCAGATTCCTGCTCCAACTAGTCATCACCCAGCCCGGGTTTCTCCAATCATACTGAAACTGCTAAAGCCTATATTAACTATGGATATGGGGAATTACAATCCAAGCACATCTTCAAGATATTAGACTGGAGAAGACTGTTCAAGTATTTTAGAGATACTGTGATGTATTTGCATCCTCTTAGTGCCATCAAATAAGTAGTTACTGAGTGAAGTAATTATAGACTGTATTCAGACACAGCAATTTTATGTGAAATTTATATTGGAAGAAGGAAGGAGAAGTTATCCATGAGGCCCTGTTGGTTTGCTGCAGGGGTCTTCAAACTTGGCCCTTTTATGACTCATGGACTTCAACTCCCAGAATTCCTCAGCTAGCGTGCTTGGCTGAGGAATTCTGGGAATTGAAGTCCATGAGTCATAAAAGGACAGAGTTTGAAGACCCCTGGTTTGCTGCATCCAAGGAAAGACGGAGAGGGGAAAGCCTTCATCTTTCAAATTACAATGAATAGAAAGGAATTACCTACACTAGCAGCAGGGCTAGAATCAAGTCCTAGCAGCTTTGAAGACAGATAGGAAAACTGTAAGGCTTTCAGAGAGCAAACTTAGTCCTAACACATCTTGTCCATCTCTTTTGCTTTGGAGCACCTTTGGGAAACATTTGACCTCACAAAATGTTTAATCTGCATTTCAAGGAACCTGAAGTGGCATAACCTGTCATTCTGCTGAAATACCATTTTCCATGAAGGACTTCAGAGAACTTTAAGTCTGTTATTTTGGTCTCTGGATTACTTCAGGAATTCTCCCTCAAAAGGGAGGTACTATTATTAATAGTACCCATTCACATTTTTGGGAAAAACACTTCAACTGAGCTTTGGGGGAGAACCATAATAGATAAGTGTTGGCTTGGTACCAACTGGCAGAGTAAGCAGCTGAAAATGGCACAAGCACTACTTAAATGCTAAAAAGATATATAATTTATTAACAGAAAACGGAAAGTTGAATGGAAAAGATTAGCTTCCCTCCTGTATTATTTCTTCTTGATCTCAAGATATGGATCTCAGAGAAACCTGAAAAACTACCAAATCTCAATTTTCCTAAAAACCTGAATTATTTTCTCCTGATGCCCTTATCAAAAGAGATCAACCACCTATAAGATTATTGGGGGCAATATACTGACTCTGTAAACTGCATAGAAAGGGCTGTAAAGCACTATGAAGCAGTATATAAGTCTAAATGTAATTGCTATTGCTACATCAGTTCCAATGGCCGTGTTTTACAATTCAAACATCAGTGTATTTTGAGAAACTTACTCTGAATATGCCCACCCAGTCCTTCTTGCGAGGTGTGAAGAATTGGGAAAGGTTATAACAGCAAGTTATATCTGTTCCAGGAACATAGAATTTCTCTATGTTTTCAAAGACAATCTGAGAGAAATGACAGCTTTCCAACATGACAGCAGAAGTAGGCGGTTCCTCCAAATTATTACTTGCACAAAGCATATCCTCCATATTAAAATCCTATAAAAAAAGAACCAAATACAAAGAGAGGGAGAGGGAGACAAAGGCAAGACGCTTAAAAACCATTCTCATCAGTCTTGACCTCATGATGCAAAGTTGTGCATTACTTTCTTGGAGTTATATGAACATCTTAAATTTCTGTTATGGGCAATTATTACTGAAAACAGCAAGATGCTGTATTCCATATTAAGATGAATCCATAGTGCACTTTAAAGTTTTAGCAACCTGTGCTGTCCATGTAATGATGTTATTATTAACATTTTTAAAATGTTGATTAAGAAATTAAGTAGCATTATATAAAACGGGTTCAAAGATTTCTGACCATCAAAATTATCTTATGACAATGTGCATGTAAGTGACTTTCTTATGGAATACGATAGGGTGGTAGCAATGTCTAGCAGGGTTAAGGACAACATTCATAAGACATAATACAATGAAAGAGACTTGCATAGGAGAACAGCTCAGCAAACTATGCCCTCATTCTTCTAAAATAAATAGGAAACTCATTTTTAAAAACAATACTCCTTTTGCAGTCAGAATGATAATGTCAAGCCCAAACAGTAGATCAACATCCTCAGACTACTTGCTTTCCTTTGGAAACAGATAGATAAGGTTCCATGAAGCTGGGGTGTGTGAGGGGGTGTCAGTGCTGGAGCTCTTACAACTGCACAATTTTCAAGGCTAATTCCCCAACTGATTCCTCTGCCCTGCCTCGCTGGACATTTCCCAACAGATGCCAGCCACATGGTCAAGAGAGAAATAACAGCAGGCTCAGAACTACAGATTGTCAACAGATACAGAATGAGTTTTCTGAGGTTGGAACGGGAAATGCAAGGGGGAGTAATGAAATCAAATTGAATCCCTCCAGTGTTTTGGATCAACTCCCAACAGCCCTGTCCAGCACAGCCAATGGCAAGGGATAGATGTAGTAATTCTGTACTTCTTACCATACAAAATATTATCAGGGAAGAAAACATGGCTGAATGGAGCAAGTATACCTACTTAGTGTCTGGCACTTCAACATTATATTTTATGACCCCATAAAGTGAAACATTGAATTTCTCAAACCTCCTTTCCCAGAAACACTGTGTTTATAGCTTCCCTACCCACTTTCCTGTCTTGATGTAGCTGATTGGTAATTAGTGCAGCCTACAACTATCTTTTTGGGAGATATCTTTACTTGCATCCCTTATCTCCAGTATAGGCAATAGGACTCACTATGGTCTATGGTCTTACTTGCAAATAATTAGGATATCATAATAGTAAAATAATAACGATGAAAAAGAAAACTAAATTCTATAATGCCAGCTCACCTTGTAGCCTTTAAAGGATGTGATTAGAGAAAATAGCACCTCTTCTTTAGGAACAGGATAAAAAACATAAATCTACCATTTAAAAATAATGTTATTTTTAAGAAAAAAGAAATTAGAACTTACTTTTTAACTTTACACAATCAAATGTAAAACCCTTCTCAATTAATAGGAAATGAAAATAAATAGGAAATTATTTCATTTGCCTAAAATTTATCTCTGATTCTTTTATTATTATCATTCATTAAAGTCTGAAATACATCTCTAGTCAACTTATTATTCAGTTGATTTTCATCAACAGTAACATGGATGACAGTGATTTCTACTTTGTCATAATTTTAGTCCTTTAATTAAATTGTACAGTTTTACTTTCTTGTATATATTTATCAATTCCACAAAATCAGACCACCATCATTCAGATCTGTTATAGCTTTCCTCTTCCTTAGTTTTGCAGACATATTTTTTGTTATATTTTTGCTTTTTATCATTTTTCTCCTTACATTCCAAGATGCAATTTTCTTGGAGATAATAGATAGGCCTCTAAATATTTATCTCTGATGCATATAATGGATTAAGTTAATTAAAACTTTTATGAAGCACTTTTCAGTAAAGTAAAGTGTAGCTTAAGTTATCTGTTGTTGCATCTATGCCATGTCTATAACAGTAATGGTAGTGCCACTCAGTCTGAGCAAATTTTGGACAATATGCCACAAGCACAAATATTGTCCAGTTTACCCCCAAGTACGATTATACTATTCTCTGCAAATTAGCCTGTTTAGAGATTACCTTGCAAGCCAACATACTATTACTTGCATTACTAGAGGTTTTTAAGAAGATATTGGACAACCATTTGTTTGAAATATTTTAGGGTCTCCAGCTTGAGCAGGGGGTTGTACTAGAAGACCTCCAAGGTCCCTTCCAACTATTCCATTCCATTCTAATTTGGAACAATAAGGTTCCAAATGCATACTGACACATTCAAAAAGCAGTATTTATAAATATAAAATGTTCAATAAATTTCAGGGGGAAATCAAAGATAAAAGCAATCAAAACAAACCAGAAGTAATAAAAATGTAGCTACATGAATGCAATGGGCTGTGCAATCCAAAAGGATGGTAAGACAAAGTCAGGTCTACTAAAGCTAGGAAGAATGCCTAGTTTTCACTTAGTCTAGTGAGAGCCCGGCATATTGGCTTGCGAAATATTTGGCTTATTGGTTTGCTAACAAATCATTAGGAGCTTTTGTAAATCATGAATTTGCTGCTTCATTTTTATCAATTTGTTTTGCTTTTCCTAGACAGTTACTAGCAGTTAACTGACGTCTTCTTTAGCATATGCTAGCAGAAGCTAGAGGGGCTGACCACAAACACTTCACAGATTAATCGCAAGTGCTTCCTACATAGACTAGCTGGCAGGATGTGGCTTTGTATCCTTGTGAAGGAATTCTGCAAATGGGCCTGTTAGTGGAACAAAGAAAAGTAACATGGCATTTAGCTAAGTTTATTTATTTATTTATTTATTAATTAAATTTATATACCGCCCTATCTCCCTTGCGGGACTCAGGGCGGTGAACAGGCGATACTAAAAACTGTTTAACAATGTTAAACAGTTTAGTATTGTTTAGTATTGTTAATACTAAAAAGTTTAACAATGTGTTGGCAAAGGCTCAAAGGTAAAAGAAAGTTATCATTAGTAGGTTAAAAAACACATCCAGAGGTGAAGAATCTAGTTAATTAAGTGTCCCCCATGCACATTATAAGCCTAAACTGTGCATGCCTTAAAACAAGGAACAAGTTATAGAAGATCAGGATATTCTGATGTGTACATGTGATTTTATGGCATAAAAAGAGCTTGCTGAATTTCAACAGGTACACTTGATTTGAACTTGGGTCCCAAGTGCATTCCTTTTTTTCTATAACAGAAATAAAGAGTTTGCATTACACCTTATTCTGCATGAATTCATTGGCTTACAGTGATGGTTAACTTGAACCCGGTCTTGGATTGGGCCAACAATTGAAACAAAAATACTGGTGTTAACATAGTTTCCTTGGAAAGAACACTGAAAAATAGGGAGGCCACAGCCAAGAAAGGAATTTCTCATCTACCGTATGATATACCATTGTTTGATACACAGACTGCCCTTCTCCCCCCCCCCCCCCAAAAAAAAGATTTAGGCAGAGGTGCTCCTGTCAAATAAATCCCTGTTTCCTTCAGAACTGTGCTGATACTTAACTAGCAAAACAGCCCAGTCCAGGCAAATCAGGAAGTTTTCTCAGCATACAGCACAAGATTTGCAAATGTCCTTATAATTTTAAAAGAACTTAAGGAATAAAGACAGTATTTCCCCCCACCCTAAAATAGCCTGAGAAAGGAGAGATTTCAGGACAGGAATCCTGCTAGCCAGCAGCTAATCAAAGCTACAACTTCCTATCTACTATTACATTTATGCAACATTTATTTAGACTGGGATAGCAACTGTGTTAAGGGAAAGTGTCTCTAATTTCTTTTGGCCAATTAATCATTGATTGTGGTAGATAAACCTTTTGGATTGGGGGCACTTTTGGAATTTTGAGAGTTCTTATAAACCCATAAAATAAATAAACCCCTGCAGATATCCTCCTCATGAAAGACATCGATGGACAAAAAATGCCCACTAATCCCTGCTTTTCAAATGTCTCATTGGCATTTTGTGGCGCCTACAGATATTTCCTTAATAAAATAATGCTGGAATTTTGCATTTTGCAGCATACCCTCTTCCTATCTGCTTTTCATTTTAAAAAGACAGAGAAGCTGATAGATGTGTAGGGAGATTGTGAATTCAAGTTCCGCCTTAGCCATGAAAGCCAGATAGGTGACTTTGAGCAGACATTTTCTCTCAGCCCAACCTACCTCAGAGGGATGTTGCTATGTGGAAAATAGGAGGAGGAAGGTGTGTTGGATATGTTTGCTACCTTGAGTTATTTGTAAAACTAATAAAAGTGGGATACAAATAAATAAATAAAACAAAAAAATGGGAAGCTGCACAATTCTTGATGACACAGATTTATGTATATATTGCTTTTACATTTTTATGAAAGGTGAGAAAAACATGCCTTAAAATTATCTAGAGAAACACTCATATAAGTCTCCTTGAGCAACAGAGTCTTGGGAGACACAATAAGGCAGGGGTGTCAAACTGCCGGCCCATGGGCCAGATGCGTCACGTGGAAGCAGCATCCACCCCAGCTCCGGCAAGGAGGAAAAAGTCGTGATACGTCACGACACGTCATGTGACATGGCAAATTTGACACCCCTGCAATAAGATGATACAACAATGCATTTATTAATAGCGATTTCAATGGTTTGGATTTAACTGGGAACAGGAACTTTGGAAACTGCAGGAACACAAGCAGCATTGCCTACCTCTGTTTCCAGATTTGTACAGCTGTGGTGGAAACCTCTGAAGCAGCTTAGTGATGCTAGAAAAAGATATGATAGATTAATGAAGTGCAGACAAGTGATTGTTTGAGTCCCAAAGTATTTCTTCACAATCTAATTCAAAGCATAGCACAAAGCAACCCACTCGTTACTCTTTAAAGTATCACAAAATCCTCTGACAATTCTCTATAAACTAATCATAATGGAGTCATGCACAGGATTGGATAGAATTGGGATGTAGCAATGAGGATGCTGGTAGTGTCAGGGATCAGGTTGAGCCTGGCTGGGAACGCCAAGATCTCTCAACACACAATAGCCTTAAGCAGCATGGATATCAAATTAAGCAAGTCCATGAAGCTTGCCAAAAATACCTTCCAATTTCCCAAGCAACAAGTAGCTGGTTGATATTATTTATAGGAGAAATTTAAAATATGGTAAATATACAAGGAAAATGTTTGGAAGAACATAAGCCGTCAGTTCCCAATGAATTCAACTAGTAATTCCCAATGAATTACTGCAGTCCTCTCCTTTTTATATCTGGAATTTGGAATAAAGATCAACGTCCTCCTAATAGTCATTAGCAGAGAAGAACAGAAGTGGCCCTACAAAGAGAAAAAAATCTTAAACAACTGTTAGAATAAGTATTAGAACATTTTATTTGAGCATTTACCCTTTTACTTACATTGAGAAACCATATCTTGTTTTAAGATTTGTTGATTTTCTTACTCTTCACTGTTCACAGGCATTGGAGACAGCTTGCCCGGGGAAATGAGATAAGGTATACAACCCAAGGACAGCTTCTCATTAGATAAATGTGTTTTCACAAAAGTTAGATGCAAGAAAGAAAGGAGGTTTTTGATATGGAATCATGTGAGGAGGGAACTGGATGACTGGATAGGAGGTTGGTAAAGAATGGACAGATTGTTATGTCTATAACTTGGGCTGGATGGATAGATGTTTGCCACTGCCCATGAAACAGCTTGCTTTCATTATCCTTGACTTAACTTAATTTCATACAACTGTCTGATTTTTTTTAATCATCCCAGCTCAGAATGAACTTGGTAAGAGTAAGGAAATTCCAACACAGCCTCAAAAAATATGTTGGTAATTGTTAATAGTAGCAAGGCAAGAGTCAGATCAAAGTAGTTAATTACCAAAGTGTGCTATTGCTTGTTCATTATTCCTTTTATTAAAGTAAGAATTTATACAAGACAAGTTCCCATGGATTTGGATCTTGATGGTCTTTAAGTTTAGTGCACAGGACTGCACTGTATGTTTTCATTCAATTCCCATAATAGGTGGGACTGACTCTGGTGACAAGAGGGAAAAAAGCACTAATACTTGTAAACTGGTGGGTGGAGTTTCAAATAAGATGATTTGCTGGATTTGCTCAACAGGCAATAAAAGCAGCTCATTTGGGAAGGGGCTGCATAAGAATTGGGAAATAGCACTTCATTATTATCTGCCTCCTCTCAACATATACAGTTAACGGAAGCCCATCCTATTTTAATACTGTTGCTGTCACTAATTTTAGCAAATAGTAAGCAACATGCCTTTCTCAAATGATCTTTACTTCTCCAGTGTTTTACTTTAAGACAGGGGTAGGCAACCTTGGCTCTTTTATGACTCGTGGACTTCAACTCCCAGAATTCCTGAGCCAGCCATGCTGAGGGGAAAAGAAAAGGTTCCAAATTGAGCCATGCTGGCTCAGGAATTCTGGGAGTTGAAGTCCATGAGTCATAAAAGAGCCAAGGTTGCCTACCCCTGCTTTAAGAGAAGGAGTCTTTTATAACTAAAGCCTGAGTTGCTGTCAAGATCAGTAATGTGATCTGCAAATGAAACTAAAGCCACAGAGGCTTAAAATCAAGCATAGGCCAGAAAACATTTCTTGGTAATGCAAGTAAATCTAATGGCGACATAGCTTTGGTCTCAGCAGTTTCTTCCAAGCAACATTTTTAAACAGCCACATATGCTTTCTGCTCAGACTTTGGAAGCCCCTGATTGATTGGAAAGACAGGCCTATCTCTTTTGGCCCTGTAGTATTTGGCAAATCCTTATTTCAGCATTACATAGCTTGATTCACTGAAATAAGGCAGCATTCCTCCACCTCTCTCTCTGTGTCCTAGTCTACAATTCTCTTCACCTAAAATTTGGGCTGAGGATGACTGAAATAGCCTATGTAGCTGCAAGGCACCAGGCAGAGCTCCATGGAGCAGCTCTTAACGACCCCAAATAATGGTCAGGAAGACATTACATTCTGAAAATAGCAGTAGAAGCCCAACACACAGCCCTTCAGTTGTTGCTGGGCCATAATTTTCAGCTGCCATAGTGAGCATGACTAAACTATAGGGAAGTATAGTTTAGTTCATCAACATCAGGTGGACCCTGAATTCCATAATTAATATGTTGAAAGGAATATAGCTGATACCATCCCCTTAGGGATGTTGCTGCTTCTCATGGCTCCTGTGCTTTTAAAACTCATTAAAAGATGTATCAATATTGCAGGAGGGAGTTAACTAAGTTGCAATTCTATTATAAACAATTTCTACAAGCATCTCTTCCAGCAGTTGCTGGGCTGAAAAGGATGCTTGTAGCGGTTAAAGTATTGAGCTATTATTGGGAAAGCCCATGTTTAAGTCTTTTTTAGTCACTGAAACTCAAGCTTGGTTGAAATATATTAAAACAAATTCTCAAAACTATGGATTTGGGTCTTCGAATATAACACATGTATTTACAGAAACTTTAGTAAGCTATCAAAAAACAACTATGAAATAGAATTATGAGGTATTTATTCACATGAGAAATAAGCAAAAATAACTAGAGATCTTGCGCTAAATACAACAAAGAGGGAAAACAAATAACCCATCTATATAGCCATAAGTGAAATCAGGTATAAAGATATTAGTCATATGCAATACCTGTAATCAATTATTTGCACACATTCACAGTAGCTATATAGATTTGCTATATTATTGGTAGTATACACTGCTGCCTGGGCCATTTTGGGTATTGAAGTCCACCTGTCTTAAAGTTGCTGAGTTTGAGAAGTAGATCCGGGACTAAGTGTAGGATTGGACTAGATCAGGGCTTTTCAACCAGTGGTACGGGTATCACCTGTGGTACATTGGCACCTAGCAGGCACCATCCTAGAAAAGTAGTAGCAGGGGAGGGGAATGAGCTGAACCGGTGGCACCACCGCAAAAGCCTGAGCGAGAGATGGTTGGAGCTGCAGGACTGAGCGGAAGCACCAGGATCAGCACCAGGATCCAGCTGGAGCTTGGTGCTGATCCTGGTGCTTCTGCTGAGCCCAGAAGAAGCGCCGATCAGCTGGAAAGCAGCACTGATCCTGGCGCTTCTGCTGAGTCCAGAAGAAGTGCCGATCAGCTGGAATGTTGCAGCATCTCCAGGGTCTTGTGATTTACATTCAGATGCTTGGCAACCGATTCATATTTATGACGGTCACAGTGTCCCAGGGTCATGTGAAGTGACCAAAACCTGCTGCAACCACCCAGCAGACGGGGGGGAATAAAAACCAAACACCCCCCACCCCACCCCCACTGCCAATCCTTGGACAGGAGGAAAGAGTGCCGCTGGGTGGGCAGGCAGGTGTCTTGCTCGGCTGTGGCTTGGGGGGCACTTTTTTCAGTGCCATTGTAACTTCGAACAGTCACTAAGCGAACTGTTGTAAGTCGAAGACTACCTGTACTTTATCACTTTTTTTCCTTTTTGGGGGGGGTCATCAAGTTTTTGACACCTTTCTAGGCGACTGATGTTACTCGGATGTTGCCATATCCTAAAAGTGGTACAATGAGTGAAAAGGTTGAAAAGCCCTAGACTAGATAATCTCCATAGTCACTTCAAACACAATTATTCTATGAGTCTTTCAGTTAACTCCATTTTAAAGAGAAAAGCAGGCTTGCTTTCATCTCAATTTTGAGATTTAGTTTGAGGTTTTCAATCATGCTCTACATTTATTTTTCACTGTGTATGTTTTTTTAAAACAGCAAGTGCAGAATTCAGGATGCAACATTACTGGAAATCTGGTTTTCAAAAAGGTGTCAGAAAACAGATCAGGAATTAACAAAAATACCTCATTTCAGTTTAGTATTGAAAAATTGTTTAATCATACATTTGCATTTCTGTTTTAATCTGGAAAGATAACAGACAATGAGTGATTTATTGCCTGCTAATGTCAAGGAGTGACAATTATATGACTCTTCTAATGGGGTGAATGAAGAAATCTGATTGACATTGTTACTGCTTCCTATGACCTCCAATTCTTTATTGTGCTTGGTGTTTGTAAATCAGTTTTGCAGTTACTTCCCCCCTACAGTGTCAAACGCCTTCTCCCTTCCTCTCCTTCTGATTCCCTTTGCAGAATGAGAGCCAAGTTAATGATAAGAACTTTGCACAGGAACTATCTACCCTCCAAGCATGATCATGCTACCTTTAAACTAAGCACAAAGCGTTCTTGCTCTTGGGCAGATATCTTATTGAGAAAAGAGGCCAGAACAAACTTCCTTCAGACTATTCAGATATGGTTGCAAACTATTTTGCAGCCAAGATCACTTGTATGCATGCTGTGTTACACTCCATATTGGCAGAAGCAAGAAAGAAATCAGGGCAATGCCTTGAAAGGAAATAAATTCTCTTAACCTTGTGTAATCCCAGGAAGGGGGGGGGGCAGGGATATTAACAGCATGAGCTTTGCCTTCTGTAAGGTCAATCCATGTTAGCTGGACTTCTTCAGGCAGTCCTACCACCACCATCACCACTACCCACACTGAAGTGGCCCCCATATTGCTAGGGCTTAGTAAAATAATAATTAGATAAGAGCCAACTGCTCAGTGAGAAAACATTTTATATATATTTTTTTAAAGAACTAAAGCCAGTACGCCCTCTTTAACAATTGAAACTATGGGATTACTAATTGTGTCAGGAGACCGTCAAATAAGTACTACTTACCAAACAGCAGAAACACTTCTGAACTTGTGGTTGTCTTAACAGCTTTGTGACAGGCAGAAACTGAGTCCGATGTCCCTGACTAGAGATGCAAAGGAAATTCAGTGTTAATTGCAAGGAATCTAAATTTCTGCATCTACACATATCTGTCTGAACTATGCTGTGGCATGTGATGTCCATCAGCTGTAGCCACAAACATTTTACAATTGTTATTTTCACCCTTGTTTTTTATAAAACACCACCACACCGGAAGTCAGCATGCCCCAAAGCTTGTTATGGATGGCTCGTCTGAGTTTTCGTAACATTTCACAGTAGGCTTCTGAATTGATGGTCAAACCATGCTCTATGAACCTCACTAGCAGTACTCCTTTGGCGTCTTCACATTTGGCGGGATTTTCTATGGCACTACTTCCGGTGTGGTGTTGGTTCACGATAATGCTCGCCTGCACACAGTTAAACGGACCCAAGAACTTTTGAAGCAGTTCCTTTGGGATGTTTTTGATCACCCCCCCCCATAGTCCAGATTTGGCACCAAGCAACTACTACTAAGGGATTTCAAACCTTGTAAGACGTCATGGCAAATGCCTCAATTTGAATGGCGATTATGTCAAAAAGTAATGTAATGTTGTAGATTTCTAATGTGTATAATAAAAGTTCTGTATTTACGAGTGTTTGTCATTGATAACCAAATGGAGGTTTATTTCCAAATTGCCCTCACTGTCGTCTTTTCAGGGCTGAGGGGGAGTGACAGGCTTAAGGTTACCCAGGTGACTTTATACATAAGACAGAGCTGAAACTCAGGTTCTCCCACTTCTAGTCTACCATGTTAATCACCATATAGTTAAAAACTACACACAGTTCTGCCAGGTAGGGATGTGAAAGAGAGGAGAGGACAGACAATAACATAAGGTAGTGATGCTAAGGAGGTATGGTAGAGATGGGGAGTGGACTGTTCATGGTAGAATTACTTTATTCTACCATTCAAAACCAAAGTGCCCTATGTCCTGGCCCAATGCCTAGTGATCAAAGCTCTAGTGGTCCCAGTTTTGGGGCATTACTGTTGAATGTAAGCCAGCTTGTAATAAAGCTGCCATTTGTGATTTTGTGAATGAAAAGGCTAACTTTGCATATATTACTGAAACTTGGTTGAGCATGGGGGGGGGGAATAATCTTTACTTTCGGCACTGGGCAAGCTCCAACTCCTTTCTTGAAACAATGTCATCTAGTGGGACCCAGGAGACATGCCTTCTTTGTTGCAGCACCTACCTTACGGGGCACCAGACTTCTCTTTTATTGCTATAGATCAGAAATGGAACACGTTTTTCAGAGTTCTGATACAATAGATACATTAGAAAGAAGGTTAAAGTAATCATACAACTGTTATTTTACTCTAATGAGTGTTCTTTCAAATGAGAAACCAATAGATAGCCAAATTAAGGAAGCAGAACATTGCATATCCCAGCAGAAGCTCTAAAACAGTCATAATTGTTAAAAAAAAAGACACTTTGAGGGGGATGGATGGTTTAGAAATGGGAAATATAAATAAAATAAAAATAAATAAAATACAAAGAAAACCTAAACTCTTTGGAAACTCAGCTTGTTTGCTATATTATGGACTCTATCCACTGTATAACCCTCGCCGCCATTCTTTTTTCCCTTGGGCTACTAAACAGCACAGTAGTCTAATATGTAAATATAGTGTTGGGAAAGCAAATTCTCCCTGAGCAGATGTTATAAATAAAGACTAGGACAAAAAAAATGGGAACTTTGATTATACAAATATGTACGATAGGACACTCAGCAACAGGATCCCTTCACTCATTAGATTTAAGCAACTGTCAGGATTATTGCAGGAAAAACTCTGAACCATTCAGCAAGAACTTGTTGGAAAATGAGCAAGGTATAGCATTAATCTAATGATCTACAAAAATAGAAGCCATCAAATCCAATCTGAGACTCCCCCTCAACATTTTCTACTGCTTAGACATGATTAAGGAGAAGCAAAAATAAACCTATACAATTATGAAACCTGATGCTGGATTTAGTAAGGTACTGTTTCAAACCCCTTTCCTATGAGGATGCTATCTTTTACATTCAAACAATTAGGCTCACCTACCTTATTATCCCAACAGGTATTGGTTTTCTACTGATTGAGGCAAGTCTTACCTGGAAAAGTCAGAAGACGAAATAGAGCTCTAACATGTGCAAAACAAATGTTTTATAACCTTTGTTTAATGCTTTGTATAACGCTATACAACTTTTGTCTTAAAGTTCCTCTCACTTTGGTATTCTTATGGGAAACCTAGCCTAGTTAAAATATAAGCAATAAAGTAGAAAAGGCGTATCATAATGCTAGTATGCTTTACAAGACTTCTTACATGCATCTTCTCTATGGCCAATCAGAATTTTGCAAAAAATATAGTTCATTTTCCGGAACTGCCTTGAAGGATTGGGCATGCATGTGCACAGAATTCCTGGAGATAAATCAAAGCAAAAGTGGAACAGGAGCTTTGATGCACTGTTCCCGGATGAATTCCTGACCACTATACATTACAGCAGCAAGTAACTGTTAAAGCCCTTTGCTTTCTGAGACCCAATAATCATTGAATCACATTTCCCAATTAATGATAAGTTGCGGTAGAAATCAGAAAAATCACAGTAAATATACTATATTCCCTAGATTTCTGCCTGAAGAGTCGAAATGGAATCCATCTGAAGGGCATCAAGTTGGAGGACTATGTCTTACACAATTAGGTGAACAGTCATTCCAGAACAATCAACATAGCAGCGAACCAGAGAAGCAAAATACACAGTTAGAGTATAACAATGTCACCTTCTTTAAAATGTCCCTTCTGGACTTTCACCCCGTCTTTTAAAAGCACTTTTTCTTCATCGTACCTGCTAACGAAATAGTTAATTTGTTGCTAGAACCAAACTTTTTTTAACTTCCTACTCACTTCTTTGCCGGTAGTTAGCAGAACCGAAGATCTCCCACAAGAATTGCAGACTGCTCAGAACGAATGACGCACGCAACTCCTTTCTCAGTAAGAGACGCTTTCCCGATTTATGAAGAAAACCGAAACCCCACGCCCATTGTGGGATGCTACAACCGAAAGCTTTGCAAGGAACGCTGGGAGATGTAGTTTTGTAATACAAAAAAAAAAAAGCTTTCTTCCAGGCATTCTTCGCCGACTTTCTTTCCAAATGCAACACGCGGCGCCTATAATCTTCTGAGTTAATAACGGTTGGGGTTCAGGACGAGGGCTAAGGACCACTTTTAGTAGATCTTTTATTTTTTTGTTTCAGATCAACCCCAAACTGAAGCTTGTCAAATCACTAGTTCATTTGCAATACAAATGATAAGAGACTATTTCCTCACTTTTTTTCCTTGTGAAAAGATGCTTTACACTTAGTTGCTTTTCTTAAAGCATCTCACAAACATTTTAATGTACATTTTCTTTCAGTACTATGGGCAAATTTCAATTCTACCCTGGGAATTACCAAAACAGAAAGCAAGAAAGAATGAAGTGAAAACTGGCCCTTGGTCTCAGTCTTGTCATTACACGTCTGCAAAGAATACCATCTAAGTTGCATGTGTTGAGTTGTTATCTTAGTAACCTTAGAAAAGAACTCTGGTGGATCTCATGCACAGGTAGTGACTTAGGTTGACTGTTTCCAAAATATAAGACTGTTAAATATCTCCTCCTGGTGGTATCTGAGCGAATTGACATATGAGCTTGATGTAAAAAGATTGCTGGACAGAGCATAGTATATTGTACAAATAAATATGCATTTTTCTTGAGTGATGATCAGTGCTGATCCCATTATGATCAGATAATGGCAGGCGACAGTAGAACAATTAGGCATGCTCACAAGAATCCAAGTCTTGAAAGAGCTGAACTCTCCCACATTATTGGGTAGTCCCCAAGTCTGCTAATCAGCAGGGTGGGTATCTGCTTGGTAAGAATATCAGACTTGACACTTCTTGTAGCCTATTGGTCACCTCATCAGCAGACTCTGAGAGATAGTGTGATACAGAAAAACTAGTTCTTTTGATACCCATCACTTCATAAAACCCACCAATCAGATGATCTACAGACTGCAGGAAGTCATGGGCAAAGAGGGAGAGTTTGATTTAATGGCTAGACTCTAGCTAACAAAACAAATAATCTTCATAGATCTATGAATGGGCTTAATTTGCAGGTAATTAAGGAGAAGGACATGTTGATTCCAATAGACACCACCTCTTACTGTCATCTGAATACAGTGTGTCTGGTATTTTGCTCAACTTGGAATTGGCGTATATTGCTTTTGGATACAGCACTTTAATAATGGATCAGCTAAAAATGACTTAAGGCTGTCTGAGCTGAGATGGAGAAAAAAATGACAATGCCATTGTGGACAAAAAAAAGATGGCAGGATTTAATTCCTGTTAGGATTAAAATTTAAGATTTCATGATTAAGGATTCTTAAGGGGGGGGGAACTAGGAACAGGGTTTCTTAAAAACTGAAAAAAGTCTGATTTTCACTTTGATCCAGTCTGACATGCAGAAGAAATTTTCTTGAGCAAAATTCACAGAAAAACAATAGATGTATAAAATTGTCTCTTTGTCTGCCATCTCTTTAACTAGTCCCTGAAATGAATCAAGATTCAGTGAATGTTGTTTGAAAAAACAAAGGCCTGTTTCATGCAGCTGTTCACTGGCTATGCACATTAGACAATATGTTAGGATAAAATATAGTTTGCTAACCTGTGCCTCACAGTGCTATATAAAATTAGTCAGTATAGATTTATTGTATGGTGTGTTGGGTGGACTCAGGCGACATACAGTAGTTTGATTTCTTGCTTAGGATATTGAGCAGTCTGAACTTGTCTAATTTATTACCTATGGTTTATTTTTAATTAAATGTGAATGCAACCAATTTGGTTTAACAAATTTTGGCTAAATAAACCATGGCTCAAATTCTCAACGGGAGAAAATCATTTTATCAATAAGCCATCATTGAGCAGTTGATAGTTTAATGTAGTCTTTTAATCAATAATCCACTAACAAAGACATTAAAATCACTGTTATTTGACCAACCCTAACCTTAAGCATTCCTGAAACATATGCCAACTTTGTTAAGGATATAATTGTAAGTATTGTATAGATTTTCTTCAAAGTTTATGGCACCTTCTAATTCTATGATCTCTTGTCAATTGTTAACATCGAACAATTTTTAGTATAGGCTGATAGTATCAAAGATTTTTTTAAAATTACTTTAGTAATATAGGATGGACTATTAGGTATAAAAAATAATAAAAGAGGGATAAAAACAAAACTACAAGTTACACATTTATATTGATTTTTTTTTATCCTAACAGTTGTTCACATTCAACTATCCCTCAGATCTCCAGATTTTGCAGACTACAATCTATGAAGGTCCGATATAGGAAGAATCTGCAAAGTACCAGATTAGGGAAGACCGTCCCTTGATAGAAAAGCAGCAGGCAAATTAAATCTAAGGCGAGCGCCTTAGAAATGAATATACTTGATGAAAACCAAAATTTATTATAGCCACAGAAATGCCACAGCCGACAAAAATGACACAGACGGCTATTTCGTACACGAAATTTCCCATGCATTAGGAAGCGTGGCTGGTCCATTTCCTGTACAAACTCCCACACCACGCAATAATTTCCCAACCTTCCAATGAAAGAGCGCGTGACCCACCCCTTCTGTTTTCCTTCCTCTAGCATCATCTATGAATCATCTCCGACAGCTAGCCAATGGGAGAACACGGAGTCTTTGAGGGCTACCCAATCTTCCCTGAGTGAAAAAAAAAGAGTGCGCGGAGTCCCCGACCAGCGAAAAGTTATATCCCGTCAGCCACTGGGCCGCGGCAGGATAGCGTTTCTTGCGTCGCGTCAACCAATAGGAGCGGAGGACGCAATGATACATTGGCAAGGTGAGCAAGATGGGCGGGGTTTGGCTTGCGCTGGTTGGAAGAGCCGCGATTTTGAGGGTTCGGTGGAATCTGCTGTAGATTGAAGGTGAGCAGCGTAGCGCTTCGGAGGGACGGCGCAAGCAGCAGTAGGCGCTGCACCTGAAGAGGTGGTAGTTGTGCAAGAAGTCAGGGTACTTGAGGGTAGAGACCGCTAGAAAGTAATGATTAATAATGTGCAGAGATGCATGGAGGAAGTCAGATGGGACCAAGGCCCCTCAGTGGTATTTTCATTTCCCCCCCCCCACAAAAGCTTATTTCTGACTAACCAAGATAACATGGCTTAACATCTCTCAGTGCTTCCAGAAATTGCAGAGGCTGTTCTCTGACAAGTTTCGGAGAACTCCCAATCGGTGGTTGTTGAGGTTACTAATAGTTAGACTACAATCCATCGTTTCAAGGTGTAATCCTGATACTAACAAAGAATAACTCCATTGAACACAGTGAAATTGGCTTCTGAATTAATATATGTTTGACTGATGTAGGGAAGAACAAACGGATGGGTGGCTCTACTCTGACCCTATAAAGCTGTGTATGTTGTGCTGTTACCAGTTTGAGAAGCTGGCAAAACAGATAAAGAATGGAAGCTTAAATGGGAAAAAAGAAATGAATAGGGCATCTAAATTTTTTACATACGTAGGTTGGGTATATTAAAAGAAAAAGTACTAGGACAGTGGCATGGGTGCCAGAGGCGGCACTCAGAGCCCTCTCTGTGGGCATGCGCGCTGTCGCCCCAGTCCTAGGCCTTCAGCTGGGTTTTATAAAACCTTTTTGCTTTGGCCTCCGCCGCAGTGTGAAAAAAAAAAAAAAAGGGTTCAATCAGTCAATTTCAACTTCTCGCGGAAAAAAAATATCTTGTAAAGTTGAAATTGATTGATTGAACTTTTTAGTCCCACCCAGTCTGCCGTTACCACCGCAGCCACGGCCACCCAATTGGCCACACTCAGCCAATGGCCACACCCAGCCAGCACTCGACGATGCATAAGTGGGTTTTGGGTTGCAGTTTGGGCACTCGGTCTCTTAAAGGTTCGCCATCACTGTACTAGGATGCTACTAGTGATGTATTTCGCATCTGGAAAAGTTTGGTTAGAAAGCTCTTGTTTGAAGCAGGAAAACTGAGAAAAGAGATTTTGTATGAAATTGCTGTAGTTGTGCATTTGTAACTAAAGATGTGGATATATGTCATCTATGAGCATTTTCTTTCAGTCATGGTTTAATATTTTTCCTATCATTAACAGAATCTATAGCCTGTAAAAAAGAGAAGGAAAAAAGTAGTTTTCTGTTAATATGGCTATGATATTCATCTACTTTTCTGATACTTTTTCATTATCTTATGGTAATTATGTCAGTGCGAGTCAGTGTGACACAATTCCTGTCACATCTGGTCCATCCATCCATCCATCCATCGGATGCTTGTTAACTGAAAGATTTAATACTTAATAATTGTTCGCATAAAGTAACTTTATGACCATCCTTGCATTTGTTACCTTTGAAGGTTTGTAAAACAAAGGAAAGCCAAAGTATAAGCACAGCCATGGTTTCATTTACAACACTTTGTTTAAGAGTTGAGTTGCCAATCTCAATTGTGGTTGCTAAATGAGGACTAAATGTACCATTTCTTTTAAATCTACCATTTAATTTTGTATTTATACTTCGTTAAAAATATACTAGTAATGGGAAGCCAACAGCTAAAAGAAAAAAATGGCTCTTTGTAATGGCAATATTTTGCCATAGAGTGGCAGAACTGTATGTGTCTTTTTTAACTCTGTGATTTCTTTTAAGCTATGTGTACCTGATTGTAGCTCTTTTCCTTCATTCAGGATAATCAGAATGCAGACTCCAGTAGCTCTTCTGGCTTCACCAGCTCTGGTATGGAATGTTTGCCTTATACCTGACTTAATGGGAAAGTAATAAATAACTTCATTTTTCTTAAATTATTTGATCAAGATGATCTATTTTAGTAACACTCATATTTTACAGAGAAAGCTGAGTGACTTTTTCTAAACCTCACAATGAATTTTGGCAGATTATTTGTTGATTCTTGTTAAATTAGTTTCTTAAGAATTTATTAAAATGGTCAAATAATTCTGTAAAAAGTGCAAACAAAAATCTCCCATTTTATTTGCTCATCTGGTACACATGTCTCTGTCATTTATTAGTAACTGATAGATGGGTCTTCCTGGAATAACTGGGCTCTGGACCATCCTGTTAATTCTTCACCCTGGAATCTGTTTTCCTTCAGAAAAGTCCAATCGTGTGTTACAAAGATAATTTATGCATTTACAAAATGATTAGCATAGTAATGGTTTCCAGTTCCAGACAAGTTTAAAGCAACCTGTATGTGTAATGCTGCAATTTTCTTTCCCTTCTTGAACAGCATATTTCCAAAAATGCACAAATTATCCTAGAATTCCTGGATTAGAGATACAAAGAAAAGAGCAAATTGTTCTGGAGCCAGATTGTTTCAGCATGAACAATTTTCTACATCTCTTATGACTGATAATTTATCCAGTATTTGCAAAAGAAAGAAAAAGTGCCTTTGCTTAATAGCCTTGAAATAATGTGACTAGGAGGAAAAGGCAAATAGACTGTTAATTATGTCTGACTATTATATAATGACCTGGCTATTAAAAAATTCCCAGTTTTTTATGTTCTGAAGTGAAACTACAATTGTACAGTATATATTTACAATAATTTCCATTTTTCCACAATTAAAATAGTAAAGTATTATGGTTTTAGACTAAAGACCATAATAAAGTACTTTATATACAATAATCTATTGTATATATTTACAATATTTGCCATTTTTCCACAATTTAAATAATACTTTATTATAATCTTATTTCAGAATATAACTAAAGATATAAACAATAAAAGAAGATAATATTCATAAATAAACCTTAACCTTTTTTATAAAACATCCCACTTGGTGAGGATTCAATATTCTAATGTATCCTTTTGCCAAAAAGCAAAAACTTTTGATCTGTATGTATTAATTTGATGTCTGTCTGACGATAGTTTATATACAATTCATTAAGGAGACCTAATTATTTTTTTAAAAAAATAAGAGCTGATTCAATCTTGTTTGAAAAAGCCTACAGTAAGAAAACATGTTTGGTTGATTCAGCCTCCCCTGCTTCGCTTGAATGTATTATTTAGGGAGTTGTGTGTATAATGGTGTGAATAATTTGAGCAATTGTTATGATAAAATGTTCTTTAAAATAATAATGAACATAGAATCCCTGAATATTTTAAAGGAAATATCTAGCTGGCTTTAGGAATGGACAATTAATTGATTTGTTGAATTCCAATAGCCATCAGTTGAGCTGGTATAGCTATTAGTGAAAGATGATACAGTTATAGTCTAGCATCATTTGAAGGTCTACATATTGTCCATCCCTACTTTAGTACCATAAAAATATCTATTAACTGTTGGATGAAGGTAGATAAAGTAATTTATTATCCAAGTATTGTTGTTTTAACCATTCAATTGTGTCCAACTCTTGGCGACTTTATAGACAAGTGCTCTCCATGCTATGTTGTCCAGCACAGCTTCTTTCAGTTATTAGATGTTCATGATGTTCATCTTTGTATAACTTTAGATGTTATCAAACCAGCATGTTCTTTGCTTGCCACTTCTTGTCCCACTAACCATTCTTAGCCTCATTGACTTCTCCTATAATTTACACACATGACATGCCAAAATAAATCAGATGTAGTTTTATGATTTTGGCTTCTAGTGATCTATATGGTTTTATATGATTTAATATCTTTCTGTTGGTCACTTTGGTTATCCATGGTATATAATTTATGCCAGCACCATAGTTCAACGGCATCCATTCTTCGATCATTCATTCTCAATGTCCAACTCTCATACCCATATATCATCATAGGGAAGACTATTGCTTTAACTAGCCTACTTTATGTATTTATATCAATATATCTGCTTTTCCAGATCTTATTTATGTTAACTATTGCAGTGCGGCCTAAGGTTATCCTGTGTTTGCTTTCAGAAGGAAAACTGTCATCGTGAACAATTTTTAATCTAAGGAAGATAAGTTCTTGAACTAATTCAGTTTCCTCCTCCTTGATTTTAAATAACTCATGTCCATGTGCAGCTGTTATCATTATTTTTGTTTTCCTGATTTTAAGACTCAGTCCTACTTTTTCACTTTTGTCCTTGATTTTTCAGATCATTTATTTCCTTATTTTCAGCCAAAAGTTTTGTATCATCTGCATACTTCAAATTATTTATGATTCCAGGGTGGATAATTAATAATTTTTTTAAAAAAATAAAAAAAATCAGATTTTTAAAATGTAAATCAGATTTTTTGATTTTTATCAAATTTATTTTAATAAAATGCTTTTGCAGTAAAAATTTACCTAAATATAGTTTTCTATTTGAGATACATTAATAATTTAGTTTATTCAGCATGAAATGGAGCTTAGTTATGTAGCATGAGGCTGTATATTCTGCAATATTTACACTTTTGGTAAACTCATTCAATGAATCCAAGCTCTGCAAGCTGAGATAACATGCACTACATTGATGCATTCACACAATTTCACAGTAACCATGAGATAAATCATAAAACAAAGTTCAGGAATATTCCTTTATCCCATTGGTTTGCAAATCTATGTACACTACAAACTGTATGATTGTTTGAAGAGAAATGCATCTGTATCAGGCTCTAAGTGTTTTAATTAAATAAAAAAATTGAGTAGTTCTCCAACTATGTGTGATTAACCCATTAACCTAAAATCGGTTCTGATATTGCTGTTTTACTAATCTGACAGCTTATTATTCTAAATAGGAAACCTTCATTTTATTTGCAAACTACATCAAGAATGAGTCTTTATATTTAAAGAGCACCTGTCATTTCAGATCCATCATGGCAGTGCCTGTTAGCGGGCATCCACTCACCTGCTGCCTGCTACGTCCCTCACCTTGTTGTGTCACTGCGGATCATCAGCTGTCCCATTAAAGTGAACGGGACAGTCGGTGAGTCAACAGCGGGTCAGAGGAGGAGCCAGTGCCGGACAGAGATGACAGTTGCTCTTTAAAAATTATGATTTAAATCGAGTTGATTTAAATCAAGCCTTTTTACTAGTGGACCCACCCTATATGATTCTCCTCCCAGTTTTCACTTAACATCTGGCAGTTCTAGATCTAATTGATACATGATCATTTCAGCATACAGATTGAACAAAAATGCTGATAAAATACATCCCTGTCTAACTCCCTTATTGATCCTGAACCAATTTGTGTCACCACTGCACAGAATAAAGTGTTTTCACTGTGACCTTCTGATCAGGGTATAGTGATCTGATAAGTCTGATCAGGTGGGTTGGGACACCAGAATTATACAAAGCTACTCATTGCTTCTTCTGTTCTACACAGTCACAAGTTTTTCTGTAATCAATAAAACACATATATAGATTCTTTTGATATTCACATGCCTTTTCCATAATCCATTTAATATTGGCCATGGGATCTTGAGTGCCGCGCCTCTTTCTAAAGCAGTGTTTCTGAACCTTGACAATTTTAAGGCATGTGGACTTCAACTCCCAGAATTCCACAGCCAGCAATGCTTGCTGTGGAATTCTGGGAGTTGAAGTCCACATGCCTTAAAATTGTCAAGGTTGAGAAACACTGCTCTAAAGCCAGCTTGTACATCAGGTAACTCTTGATCTATGATATTCTGTAGCCTCTGTTTAATGCTTTTTAACAAAATCTTGTTTGCATGAGAAATCAGTGCAATCATGCGATAGTTGGAGCAGTCTCTGGTACTTCCTTTCTTCACTAATGAGATAAAAACAGGGCTTTTCCAGTCCCGAGGCCACTGACATGTAATTCATATCTCTTGACCTAGGGCAGAGATAATATTAATTGGCACTTAGTAATTGCGCAGGTATTCCATCAATACCTGAGGCTTTCCAGTTTGGCAGTTTCTCCGTGGCCCATTCTACTACTTCTTTCAAGAAAGATGCTTAGTTCTTTATTAATTGGGCTGTCATCATTGTCATCTTGATGGTAAGTCAAACCGCTATAGAGTCCTTCCATATATTCTTTCCACCTGTTCTTGATCTTCTGCAAGTCACTTAGTACATTCCCATTGCGTTCTTTAACAGTTCCTTGCCATGCTGTAAAGCTGGATGCATCATTTTCACTATGGCAAACCTAAATAGGTCCCTTCCTGTTAGCTTCTTCCAGATGTTGTCACTCCTTCTCACACTGCCTATTTTTGTTTTTCCTGGCTTCATGTTGGAAAATTGCATTCAGCTTTTTAACTTCGCCTTTCTTACCTTTGGCTTTGGCTGGCTGTGCTTTGCTGATCAGTTATTTTGCTAGTGTCGTCAGATAGCCACTTGTTCTCTTTGGTTTTTGGCATGATACATACATTCCAGCAACTTCAATGATAATTATCTTGGATTTCTCACCATGTTCATTTGGATCTTTCTAGATTCAGTGGTTCAAACCTTTTCTTAACTTCTATGGCATGCATAGCTGAGATGCTGTTCACATTGAATTTTGGGGATATAGTACCTTTTTTCAGTTTAGCTGATGGTCTGAGCTACAATTAACATCAGGAAATGTCTTAACAGATGCAATTGAATATTTCAAGCATAGTTGCCATACAATGAAGTCTGTCTGATTTAGAAGTTGTCCATTTGGTGCTGTCCACATGTATAAGCGTCGCTTGTGTTGAATAATATAAAAAAAGATTCTTTTTTGGTATTTGCTTGAGAACATATTGAAGCTCATTGTAAAAAAATTCAGTGTAAATGTAAGGAATTTTAAATAGATAGATTTGGATTTATTTAGATTTGAATGGATAGCTTAGACTACTGTATAGATTTGTTTGTAGTTGGATATAAACTGAAATGTTTTTCTCTCTAGCTCCGCTGTTGTTCTCGAATTCTAACTAGGCCAGTTTCCCTGTCTTTATTGAGCAGGCCTGAGACTCAAACTGTGCAGGTAAGTATAAGGAGTTATTATTATACATTATATTCTGAAAGTACAGAAATGGCTATTTGATCCTTAGATCTATAATATTTCACTGAGCTCGTGTTTTTTTTACAAATTGGGGAGCATTAGAAGAATTTTATATAGTCTTACGCACAGCATTGTTGGCCTCCACAAAAGGGAGGCAATCTCACCATAGAAAACTATTCTTTCCATATGATCAAGAATGTTTAATGTTACTGAAGTAATACCAGAAAGAATTCTTTTGTAATGACTCATAAACCACAAGCATAGGTGAACAAAAACATGGGAAAGAAGACAATGTCCATCCTGATATTATTATTTCCCTCCTAGCCTTTTCAGTGAAAATTGAAAAAGCGTCCTAATTGCCATTTCTCAACGGGTGTTTCTTTACCTCTTAACATCAGTATAAAAATTACTTTGAATTAGATGGTTCATGAATTTCAAGTTCCAAGTACTATTTAAATAAATATTTATTCATTCATTCAATGATAATGCTACCTGATTCCAACTGACTATATTTCTATTATTCTTGTTCAGTTCTTTTCTGGAGTTTCCTCTTAATCATAAAAAAATCACCCAATTAGGATCTCTTATATGGACAAGCATTTCAGGTGTATCTGTCCAGTACTGTGGTTTTCAGAATCTAGATATTTGTAGTTTAGTGGTAGCTGTCATCTTTAAATAGACATTTAAAGGGCATTAAATAGGCATTGGATTTTCTAATACTTCTAATAGAAAGTTTGACTCTTGGAAATTTAATTGTTGTTTTTGTTCTACAAAACCTCCCATTTGGCTTTTTATGTTTTATTATTATGGACCTCCAATACTTAGAAACTATGAGATGCCTTTAGTCCTCTAGATGCTGTTGAATAATAATATCTATCACAATGCCTTCAACCCATGGTATGCACACCACTGGTGGTACTTCGGCACTTGGCAGGTGGTACATGTATGATGGGTTGAAAAGCACTATAAAAAGAAGTGTAAAAGTGTAGTGGGAGGATGAGCTAAAGCAGCGGCAGTGCTGCACAGGCCTGTGGAAGAGTCAGCTGGAGTTGCGGTGTTGCTGTAGCTCTGCTGAGCACCCAGGATTGGTGCAGGGCTCCAGCTGATTGGCGCTTCCGGGAGCAGAGCGCAACCTTCGGGAGAAGGAGTCAGCTGGAGTTGCACCAAGGAGAAAAGGAAGAGAAGGTGGGAGAGAGGAGAGAATATAAAAGGAGGAGGTTTTGGTGGAAAAGAGAAAGAAAAAAAAGATGACGGGGAAAAAAAGGGGACAGAGAAAAAGACGGAGAAGCACGCAGCCTTGGAGAGAGGAGTCAGCTGGAGTTGCACCAAGGAGAAAAGAAAGAGAAGGTGGGAGAGAGGAGAGGATATAAAAGGAGGAGGTTTTGGTGGAAAAGAGAAAGAAAAAAAAAGATGACGGGGAAAAAAGGGGACAGAGAAAAAGACGGAGAAGCACGCAGCCTTGGAGAGAGGAGTCAGCTGGAGTTGCACCAAGGAGAAAAGAAAGAGAAGGTGGGAGAGAGGAGAGGATATAAAAGGAGGAGGTTTCGGTGGGAAAGGGAGAGAAAAAAAAGATAATGGGGATAAAGAAGAGGATGGAGAAAGAGAGACGGAGAAGAAGAGTGGCTTCTTTGAGACAAGCAGAGGGAGAGAAGGAGATAGAACAATGCAAAGAGTAAAGTAAGAGAAACAGGCACAAGTTTCCCATTAAAAGTGTGGTAAGTGGGTGTACAGATAGTCCTCAACCTACGACCACAATTGAGCCCAAAATTTATGTTGCTGAGAAATTTGTTAAATGAGTTTTGTCCCATTTTACGACTTTTCTTGCCACATTTGTTAAGTGAATCACTGCAGTTGTTAAATTAGTAACATAGCTGTTAAGTGAATCTGGTTTTCCCATTGACTTTGCCTGTTAGAAGATTGCAAAGGGGGATCATGTGACCCTGAAACATTGCAACCATCATAAATATGAATCAGTTGCCAAGCATCTGAATGCTGCAGTGGTCCTAGGCGTAAAAATTGTCGTAAGCCACTTTTTTCTGTGCCATTGTAACAGTCATTAAGTGAACTGTTGTTACTTTATCACTTTTTTTCCTTTTTTTTTTTCTGGTCATCAGGTTTTTGATACCTTGCTAGGCAACTGGTAGAACTCGAACACTGCCATATTCTAAAAGTGGTACAATCTGTGAAAAGGTTAAAAAGCCCTGCTCTATCACATTTACCATCAGTTGTGTTGACTGGGAATTAGAGGTCAATACTATCATGAAAGTTACATTTCTTCTACCTTTGGCTAAAAGTTTGGCAAGACATTAACCTTGCTCTTGTTTCTTTACCCCTCACACCTGTCCTTGATATGTCCGGATACATTACTAGCTAACAGCTGAATTACATATTTTTGTGCAAGAAAAAGCATGGAATTTTCAGATGTTTGGCTCAAACTGTACTAATTATTTGCTCATTTCACAGCCTTTTGGCTTTTCCACTCATCAGCTGGCTAATCGGGAAATCCAAACCAGCTCTGTCTCCCGTGATATTGATACAGCTGCTAAGTTCATTGGTGCTGGTGCTGCTACGGTGGGAGTAGCTGGTTCAGGAGCTGGGATTGGAACAGTGTTTGGCAGTTTAATCATTGGTTATGCCAGGTAAACTAACATGCCAGAACTATTTATATGTAGTTAGAATCTATTTTATGACCTTTATCCACAAATAAACCCATCTTCTAAGAAGTAAATTTTGCTGATAGTTGAGAAATACTGGAAACTTTACCTACGAAAGAATGTAGAAGAAACTAGTGAGTTCCAAATAGAATTCTGTTATCAAATGTCTTGGGATATACAAATATCATTCCAGATCTATTGTTTATGTCAAATCCATATTTTTGAAGTTAGTAACCAAGTAAAGAGCTAAATTTTATAAGCACGCAGAACCCAATTACATTACATTATGTATTGTGTTAGGGTTCCTGCTAGATAGCAGGAACTGTGCATACTGCTTGGTAGTAAATTCTGAAGTGAATTAATTAGGGCTGTGCAAGGGTCCCTATAAAGTTGGGAATAAAAGAGGGCATGCGTAATGGATTCACTTATCCTGACTCTTCCGTCGAATTGCAGGAGAGATGTAGCTAATGCTATGATGTATCCCAGCAGTCCCCAACTTTTGCAGCTTGGTGGCTTGGCGGGGGGGGGCAGGAGAGGGGAACTGGTACATGCGAGTGGTGGGATGGCATGCACACATGCGCGCGTAGCTCAATTCGTGTGAAGGGGAGGCTGGTACACATGCACATGTACGCCAGCCTGCTCACACAAGTCAAGCTGCATGCACACATACACCAGTCTGTGGCCTGGTTATGATAGGCCATGGCCCAGTAGTGGGCCGTGGCCAGGGATTAGGGACCCCTGATGTATCCATTAATTATGAGAATCATAAAAGTTCCAAAACATGCAAAGCATACTTGTCTTAAATGCATGTTTTTGCCATCTGGAGCATTTATCTCTTTTTTCATAAAACAATTATCTTTCTGTTCTGTTGCCATTTTTTTCAATTGTACTGTATACATGTGTTCATAAAACCTAGAATCAAAAAATGTATATTTTTTTGAAAACTGATGCATAGTACTTGACCTAAAACCAAAATTGAGCCCAAATTTTCCATTGCTAAGCAATGATTGCTAAATTAATTTTGCTGCAGGATGCTACAACGGTCGTGTGAAAAATGGTCATAAATGTTTTTCAATGCCATTGTAACTTTGATCAGTGACTAAATGAGTGGTAAGTTGAGGACTACCTGTAAAGCATTTTGCATTTAGGAACATCTTTTATTGAGTTTTAAACTAAAGGAAATGCTGAGACCATATTCGGGTGTCTTGGTTTAAATGATCCTTGTTTTGAGAAAAATAATTCCAGCTTCATTCCAGCTTCCTAAATCTCTCCTTCCATTCACTCTAGGGACAAAGACACCAGGAGAAAAGCTAAAATATGTCATCCACTGCTGACAAAGCAAACAGTTTCCATGGATGTATAGCCTTTATTTAAATAGAAAAGCTATGCAAACTTTCCTAAGATTTTAAATAAATTATAGTCAAGTACCTATGATCTATGCTGTTTAACGCTTATCAGTGTCCATAATGGCTTGGAAAACATTGCATAATATTTTATTCTGGAGAATTCAGTAGGAATTTATGTCACAGGCTTTTTTTTTTTGTTTCTACCTACAGGAACCCATCCCTCAAGCAGCAATTGTTTTCTTATGCTATCCTAGGTTTTGCCCTTTCGGAAGCCATGGGGCTCTTCTGTTTGATGGTGGCATTCTTGATTCTGTTTGCCATGTAAAAAGCCTCTGCTGTCCTCTGTTTAAGCCTGCTTCTCTCACTGAAGTGTTAGAAATATAAACAAACTTTAAATAAATATAATTCAAGTTTTCTGGGGGGTTTGTCATTATTTTTTATGATTCACATAGAAACAGGGAAACATAGAAAACTGATGACAGAAAATGACCTAATGCTTAATTGATTCTGCCCTTTGAGTTTTTAATTTTTTAAAAAAAAATCGTCAGGTGATGGACATACGTTTATCCCAAGCATATTTCAACTCAGTTATTGATGATTGACCTATTATCTCCACTGGAAGTCGTTCCAAGTTTCCACTATTTTTAGATTTATGCTTGAATAATTAAAATAGAAATAAAACACATCTCACTAAAATAATATACTGTACCTTCATCCTACTTTCTCTTTACCTCATTGTTTTCTGTTCTGCCAGTTTATGAAAACCTTGGGATATTTCAATCATCTAAAAAAATGGTTTTAGTCCACAAAACTCATAATAAAAGAGTCTATATAAAATTGGTATTCAAAAGTATGTAATGAGGTTGGAACTAAATATTTTGCCTTAAGTCTTAATGTAATGTCTTTATTACATTTTTCCGTGTATAAGACACTATTTTTTCCTGCAAACACCCTGTTCAAAAATTAGGTGCGTCTTATACAAGTGCAGCATCTTATACATGGAAAAATAATGGTAACCTCCGCAGCCCGGGGCATGCCTTTGTGGGTTGCCATGTCGCCTGGTGCAGGTGTCAAGCCCCTGTGGGCTTGGCACTAATGGGAGGGGGGAGGGGGCAAGATCGTCGGCCGGCCGAACTTCCAGATTTGCCGGCTCAGCTGTTCGGCGCTCCACCAAACAGCTGATCAGCGTGGAGAAACTCGCATGCCAGAGCGTCTTATACAAGGGTGCATCTTATAGACGGAAAAATACGGTAGTTTATAATATATGATACAATGAAAATACAAAAGTAAATAGTGGAAAATATGGGGAAGGGAAAAGGGAGTAGAGAAGTGAGGCATTGACTTCCAACTTCCTTTGGTGTAGTAAAGTCGAGTGTCAACTTCAAACCTCAATTTTTTACTTTTACAAAATAATATAAATTAGCCATTTCGATAACATCAACATTCTAACCTCAAGTCTTATCTAACTGGTAAAACCCAAAATCAAAATTTCATTTTTTTCCACCTCAAACACAAAAGTCTAGAAGCGGTTTCCATGTAGCAATAAAGTATTTGTATTCTTTTCTTTAATCAGTACAATCAGTTTTACCATCTCTGCTAGCTCCATCAGTTTTTGTAACCTCCGTTTTGGGAATTGATGCAGTCTTCCATTTTGAAGCGTAGTCTTGCTGCTGTCAACATATATAATATCAAAGTTCCATATTTTTCCCCAAGTCTTTATCCATTAGCCCCAAGAGAAAAGTCTCTGGTTTTCTTTCTATATTCACTTTAAGAATTTTCTGTATTAACATTTGAATCCTGCTCCAAGATTTTCTTCCTTTATCACATGTACATCATAAATGATAAAAAGTCCCCTCTTTACTTTTACATTTCCAACATTCATTTGAAATATCTTTATACATGTTTGATAACTTGCCTGGTGTTAAGTGCCAATGGTACATCATCTTGTAAAAAATTTCTTTTAAATTAGTTTAATGTAAATTTTAATCCTTTATTCCACATATTTTCCCATTGTTCAAGCATAATATTATACTCAAAATTCTTTGCCCACTGAATCATACTATGTTTTACTTGTTCATTTTCCAGATTTAAATTCAATAACATTTTATAAACTGTAGCAGCATCACTATCGCACAGTAGGATTTCCAATTTTTAACAAAATTAAACCAATGATTCTTTTTATCTAACTTAAATCTTTGCTTCAATTGCATATTTGTAAACCAATGGCAAACATGACCTGATTCTAGTTCCTCCTTGGATTTGAGGGTAGGTTCACCCAAATTAAAAGATATTTTACCATAGGTCCACCAATTTGGCCTCATTACCATCTCTTTTTTTAAAAAAAAAGTTTCTTGTGGGGAAACCCAAAGTGGCACCTTCATATAGAACCTTGTTTTATATTTATTCCAAACTCTCAAAATGGCACGCCTAGTAAAATGATTATTAAAATCAACATTTACTTTGTCATACCATAGGTAACCATGCCAACTAAACCTTAATTCATGGCCTTCTAGGCTAGTATACAGTCCTTTACCGTTGTCTCCTTATGTAAAATAGATTCATTTGATCTCCATCTATAACTCAAACTCTTTTTTATAAGGACCAAAACAATTGGGTTATGGTCAGAAAAAGATTTAGGTAAGATATCAACTTTCAAAATTCTATTTGCTAAGTTTTTAGAGGTCCACATCATAATGATCTGAGAAAGATCTGTGCCTTTATGAAAAAAAGGTATCTTGTCTTGCAGAGCCATTTTTATGTCTCCATGAGTCTATTAGCATTAAACTATCCATCATTTCAAAAAATGATTTTGATAGTTTGCCCTGAGATGGTTTGATCCCTTTAGATGTTCTATCCCAAAATGGCAAAGTCACTCCATTCCAATCCCCCAACATAAGCCAATTTTCATATGAAAAAGGCAAGAGTTGGTTCATAAGATACTAAAAAAATTGCTTTCCCCCCTCATTTGGCGCATATAGACCAATCACTATTGATTTTACTCCATTAAATTCAATTTCTACAATTATGAATCTACCGTATTTATCTGATAAAAAAAGCCTAGGTTTAAATTTGAGGGTTTATATATAGAACCGCTCCATTCACAGGCTCCATCATCTGATACCCATTTTTGACCCACTTCTCTTCTAGAGGAGTTGATTGTTTCTTGCAATCAATATATTTAATTTAAATAAAGTTTATGAAAGTTCAAGCCATGCTGAACGTGTTTCTTTTCCATCTGATGTTTTGCTCTTTGGTTCTTCTTGAGCAAGTTTGAACTCCAACCAAAACAAGTGCAAAGGGTTGCAGAATATTCTGAATACTGCAAAGCTCATAAAAAAATGATATAAAAGCAAGGGGCCATAAGCAGGAAACAAAATTTATACAATGTTTGTTTTGCCTTATGTTTGCAAATTTAATGTACATTAGTGTTCCCTTTGTGTTTTCAGCAATCTTGTTTTGATTCTATTTTGGGATATATAAAACAGAGCTTACTATTAAATGGTATAATTAGAGTGATATTGGAGAAAGATTTATTTTCTTAGGATTATTCTCATTTTGACAAAAGTACAGGACTCTGACCTCGAGTTTTCTACAAGTACCTTGTTATCAGGAATGGAGACCAGCTAATTCTGAGTAATGCCTTTCTGAAACGGACTTAAATGTTTTCGTGGAGGCCAGAATTAACAGCATAAAAGCGATGGCGCTACAAAAATACACCTTATCTGCCGCGGAAACCATCGCGCGCAGCTCTTCCAGGAGGTCTAGGCTGGGAACGGGACCTACCTCCAGACAGGCGCGAGGGCGGAGCTTCTGTTTGCCCGCGTCTGAACAAACTCTACGCCAAAACAGAAGGTGGCGTCTTTACGCCCTTAAAAGGGAATTTTTTGAAAGAATTATTTTAGGCAGGTGGGAATTAGTTGCCTTGAGTTTCGTAGGATAAACTACAACAGCTTCTTTGAAAATATATTCTGTTAGGTATTTAGTGCTCCGTTCCGAGAAAAAAGGTAGAATCTTGTGGGTATTTCGGAGGTCCCGCGGAGATTGCTGCAGAAAGGAAAAAAATGCAAAGGGCTGCAGGGTGGGGTTTTCCCCCCTTGAAATTTGGTTCCGGATGCATCCTCCGCGTGCAGATCAAGAGAGTGGAAATTGAAGCTGACATCGAATAAGTAATAAGAATGATCATGTGGGAGATTCCACTTTGCCACGTGCCGTGTGTTCAGAGTCGTGCAAAAGGAATTAAATAAATGGTTTTATTTCCCTTCATAATCTTTTTAAAGTGGCGTGCACTTAAAAAAATCTCACGCTGGTTTGCTAATCAAGTGAATAATTCAACAATTACATATTTTATCCATTCAATATATCTAATTTTTAAAGGTACAATTGAAACTCCGGGTAGTAGCTCTATGAAAATAAGCATCATAAAATCAAAACGAACGTTGCCTGGGAGATAAGTAATTATTATGTTGCTTTTAAAGGCGTTAGAGATTTGTCGATGCACAAATACAAAAGGGCTTTTAAAAAATTGTCCTAGTTTTCCTACCCGAACTTCTCTGAATAAAGTTAAGCAGGGTCAGATCTGCTTAATACTTGGACAGATGGCCACGAAGAAAACCGACAGCTGTCAGCTAGACTGAGGAATCGGAAAGACATCCCGGAAGCAAACAGTAGAAGCTTGGTTTTGGTTTTGGCAATAATACCACACGCACGTAGCAGAAGCTTTCCCTTTCCAATTCGTTTTCGCAAGAACTTTTTCACCCAACTTACTATTCAGAACCGGAAGTGAGGACAGTGCTCTAGAATTCTATGTTATCAATGTTCCACTAGCTGCAACTGAAGGAATTAACAACATAGGGCGCTCTGGAACTGTCTACCTCAGTGGTTGAATGTTGGTAGTGGGCGGCACATCGTGATCCGCTCTGCCCATTTCTGTCGATGGTGTGGGAAGTCCCGGAAGTGTAGCCGGGACTGTTGGCGATGATGGCGGAGAGTCCGGCTGCTGAGGAGGTAGCTTCGGCCGCGGTACTGGCAGCCCCGGCAGGCGGAGGGCCGGGATCCGGAGCGGGTGGCGGAGGCACGGGCGTTTTCCTACCAGCCGAGCTCTGGGCGGTAGCGGGATTGGGTTCGGCAGGAGGCGGGTCTGGAGCAGGATCCGGAGTCGGTTCTGCAGGAGCCCCAGTGCCTGGGATTCCCCCTGCCGCCGCCGCCGCCGCTGCCGCTGCCGGAGTGCTCCTTTCACATTCGGCCTTTTGGGATCCCACGACTAGTGGTGATTGGGACGGAGAGAGACCGAGCTCTGCCTGCCTACTCCGTATCAAACGGTAAGGAACTCCGGAAAACGAAAGAAGGAAGTAAATGTTAGTAATCCCGGTCTTTCCATTAAAGAATTTAACCAATATCTGGCAAAACGCGAATTATTAAGAAAGGGCATAATATTTCTGAGCATGTGCAGAGTGCTTAGTTCTCCACTCAAGCATTTCGTTTTGTGCCCTGTATTTCAGGATGAGCTGGGTTCATGCTTCCACTGTTCAGTCCTGTTTTAAGTATTATTTTATATTCCTGCTGGTGATAGATTGAGGCATTGGGGCAACTTCCATCTGTTTCATTCCTTCATTTTCTTGTAAAAATATAAATCTCTAAACTATTGAATACAAATGAAATAAGCTTCT